CTCGCTGGAGATAGTTAATGGCTGTGTGGCGTCACCGAGCCGAAACTGAATATCACATTTGCCCCCCCCCTTAGGTTACGTTTTATCCAAGTCCCTGAGCAAAGCCTGGAGAGGAAGAGCAGGGGAAAAGAGAAGGAGAGACAGGAGGAGTGTGGGGGGCCGAGGTGGGGGGGGTTGGTACTGCTGGGGACGTCTCAAGAAAATGACGGGGGGGAAACATCTGAAGAAAGCAGAGAGAAAATAAAGGATGAGATCCAGCCCGGCAAGGGAGTGATAACAGGGAGAGTGGGGGCTCACGGAGGAGGCCAGGATTGGGGTGGGAGGGGTGGCCCCTGTCAGCCACATGATTGGGGGGGCGGGGGGGGGGGTTCATGTACCCAGATCGTGGCCCCTCTGTTTTAACGCGTCAGTGACTGACTCGACAGGAGCCGCAAGGTTAAACATACAGAGCAGGGCTTTTTATAAAAAGATCAACGTGGGTTCTGGATAAATGGGATTAAAATGTTTTCCATGGCAGTCCCTGTCATCTTCATTTCTATACATTTCCATTCATGGGAACATGTGGATGTTCACAATCTCATTTCAGAGTCACAGAAATGACCATGTTCGAACATGAAATTTAAACTTCTTCCAACCTAATTTAATTTGAGGAGATTACTCTGCTGTGTTTTGCTTTTACATATTCATAGATAGGTACTTCTCTTAAACTTGATGCAGGGATGGGATGCTGGTCCATCGCAGAATAAAATGCTCCAGACTGATGGAATAAGTAAGCTGCTTCTGTCAGAATTACAAAGCTCCGTCACACTTGTAAGGTTGAGAACCTCGTCCTTTGGCCTCAGAGCAGCTTCCATCCACCCCGTGTCACTTGGCAACAGATTAATTCTCCCTCTTTTTTTTTTCTGCTGCAGTAACACAGGGATACTGCGAGGGATACCCCCTCGCAACACTGCAAAACAGCAGGGACAAAAACATTGTTTTAATGAATCACCTAGCAGACGGTCACTCAGAGAGACCAGGCTAGCTTTTACTTCACTCATGCATCTTCAAGTGCATTTCCTAAGGGTACAACTGCAGGGCCCTTCCACAGGCTCACTGGTCATGAACCATCATGCCACCTCCTGCAAATAATACTGTAAAGCAGTTAAGCAAACCACACATGTAAAATCTTTGTTTTTTTATCAGATATTCTTGGCTTTTTCCTGAAGGCTACAATAGGAGATGCTTTTATGCTTTTACAGGAATTCAGATTTTCTGTGCTCCGACGTTTAGGACTGGAGGCCTTCGGGCTGACTAGTCCGAACAGGCCAGGAGAACACGCCCCCACTAAGTGCACCGTACCTTACGGGGAGCGATCCTCCACATTAGGGCAAGAGAGGAGCGATCCCACGTAGTCCGTAGCATTATGCGCTATCCTCAGCACGCCCGGATGCTACTGTGTCAGCACTTAACCTCCCGGGATCTGAACCGGTAATGTTTGCGTCAAAAGCACAGCCTCCCCCTCTTACCTCCCACCCGCTGTGGGTATCGGATTCAATCGCAGCGATCTGTTGAGTCATGATGGTGTGAGCGTGCACGAGTGCTTCCCCGCGTGTGCCCGTGCGTGTGCCCCTGCATGTGCCCGTGCATGTGCCCGTGCATGCCAAAGGGTTTGGGGAGGGGGGATTCGGGATCGATGTTAAACTGCCCGGTTAACGCCAACTAACAAAATCATCCCTTCCTGCTGGCAATGTCCCTCTCCCCCACCCAACCCACATTTATGGTGTGCACCTCTATACACTGCACTAGCTACAGTGGGGGGAGGGTCTTTCAGGGCTTGAATCACATTGCAGAATGCTATCGGGCCTCGGAACATCTCACTTCAGATTAGAGTACGCTGACCACCATGCTAACAAGTATGCTAAGAAGAAGGCTAACAAGTATGCTAACAAGCATGCTAAGAAGAAGGCTAACAATTATGCTAACAAGCATGCTAAGAAGAAGGCTAACAAGTATGCTAACAAGCATGCTAAGAAGAAGGCTAATCAGTATGCTAACAAGCATGCTAAGAAGAAGGTTAATCAGTATGCTAACAAGCATGCTAAGAAGAAGGCTAATCAGTATGCTAACAAGCAGGCTAACGAGCATACTAACAATCACACTAAGGAGTGTGCTAACAAGTGTACTAACAAGTGGGGGTGGTGAAGTGGACCGGCCCAAGTCTACACAAACGGCGTCTGTATTCGATCAGAAATTATCAGACCCCCCTCCTCCCCCATGTTACCTGCCCCAAAATGTCCCAGTCCCGTGCCCACAGAGTGAGAACCCCTCCCCCCCGCCCTGCCACCGGCACCTCCCTAATTATTTCTGATATTTCGCCGGAGTATCCGTGTTCCATTAAGTGACCGAGGCCCCCGCTGATTGGCTCTGGACGCCCCTCGAAATAGCAGGCCTGGCTTCCTGCCAGCGATTCATTTCCTGCCTGTCTGAGAGCCTCCCGTCGGTTAAGCTGGAAATGCATTTCCTGACTGTGTATAAAATTTTTATTAATGGCGGAGAGTGCATCCGTGGAGCCCGCGGGCCGCTGACGGGCCCGGAGGAAGAGCGAGTGATGGATCGGGCCAGGGACAGGCTGGACCGGAGAGCGATAGAGCGGGTAGAGGGAGAGTGAGACAGAGAGAGAGAGAGAGAGAGAGGGAAGGGGGTCATTTTATCTTAGCCAGAAAGATGAGAGAGGAGGAATGAGATGCAAAGGGGGCAGTGGGAGAGGTATGAGTCCCCCGAGTGAGAGTTCAGCTGGGGGGGGGGGGTCCCTCTGTAATTAAACAGAAACTTGCCCTGGCTGCCATTTTGACAGAGAGGTGAGGGGGGGGGTTGATGGCCCACTGCAGGGGATGTGTTTGTAAGGTCAGGAGTCAGCTGGAGGGTGGGCATGGAGGGGGCACTGGTCAGCATATCGCGGTCTGTTTAGCAGGCTCATCTTTGGGTGGGGGGGGGGGGGGGTTCTCTTATTAATATTGTCGATGTCGCCTGTCATGAGGAGGCCGTGAGTCACGATACACCGAGGTGCGATGCAATGTTACCAAGCCCAGGACTGCGCCGGGACCCAGACCAGAGACACAGCCTAAGAACCGTGGTGACTAGGAGGCTAAGAGAGCAGCACAGATACCAGGGCGACTGGTCCATGGAGGCCAAACTGCATTATTAATGACGGAACGTGGAAAGCAAGGACAGGAGGCTCTCAGGATGCAACCAGAAAAGCGAAGAGCAATGACAAAACTAGGCAGCGGTGGGGCATACCACAACTGCAGTGGGCTAAAAGCGCCAGTAGGGGGAGCTTGAGTTAATTACCCAGAATGGAGGTAAGGGATTATCTGTCTCCATGTGTGGGCAAGGATTTGATGAGATGCTGCAGATAATGGAGCTTTGAATAAAACAGAATTATGAAGCAAGTCTTGGCCATGTGCAAACCATACCACTGTTTACATGGAGAGACTGAATTAGTTTATGTGAAATAACTTTCTTAATGGTGCAACAACAGTATCCTTTGTGGGATTTAAACTGATGACCTTCTGGGCACAAGATTCGTAACTCACTCACTACTCTGCTTGGTGAGTCTCTGTTAGACACTTAATAAGGTAAATATGGCATATTTAGCTGCAGGCTTCTTTAGGAGTGAGCTTTACTGGCACTGACTCTGGGATTCACTGGGTCTGTCCTGTTGGAACTGGGTCCCTCATAGGACCATTTGTGTGAAACCAACCAAGCTTCAAGTCCCAGCCACAAGCAAGTCCACCCGGTCCCAATACCTCCCTCCCAAGTGGACCTAGTACCACAGAACCAGGACACTGGCAAAGAAAAGTCATATCATGGTTGTTCCATAATGGGAACTCTGGGAACACATGCTTAAAATGTGATCTGTAACATGGGGGGGGGGGGGGTCGTTGCGAGTTCCATAAATAGCTTATTTTACAGAGAACTCCATCACCGCAACCCAGAAGAGACTCCGCCCCCAAGAGCGTGTTTCATCTGGTCAGTGCCGCACGGCTGCAGAGAAGGTTCCCAAGTGCGACATGTACCACGGCTGTACACAAATGTGAATGAACGAACAAACGAACAGATAAACAAACACACACACAGACAAACAGGCTTGCACATGCATTTAAAGGCACAGAAGGACGAGCGAACGGCAATGCATCCATGCACTGAAAATTCATTTACACTGTAAAAAATAAAAATGACCCCTGTGAACCAAGAGATACGCCCATAGCGTGTCACATGACTGCCCTGGAAAGCAGTCGCGCAGGAAAACGGCGAACAGACCCTGATGCAAGCGAACACACACACACACACACATCCTCTCTGCCTGTAAACTCAATATCCTCTCCAGCCCCGAGGGCAATGAGTGTACAGCCATCGCAGGAAGACAGAGACTACATTATCCAAATCAAAGCTCTGTATCATCAGCCATAATCAATGCTTTTCCATTACCACAGCCTAGGCGGTGGGCAGGCCAGGGGGGTGGGTGGCTAAGGGTCATGGGGGAATTCAGGGCTGGTGGGGGCAGGGTGGGAGGCAGAAAGGCAGAATGGGGTTGAGACGACCTGGCAGGACAGGGATCACGTGGGCAAAAGCACGGGAACCAAAATCGCAGACAAACGCATGACCGTACCAGACTGTACCAAGCCGATGGCCCGGTGCCATTGAGATGGGCCTGCACACACCGGTCCGCTGCCAGCCAGGATGCCATCGAGACAGGCTGGTACACAGTAGACGGCCAGCGGTCTCGGTGCCATCGAGATTTCGGTGTATTCCTATGCGTGACATCATGCAGTCTCGCCACCGACACCCTGGAGCTGGGATTTGGAGCAGACGGGTTTTTTCTTACGCCATGTCAGCACTGGTGATGGCCACGAGAGACGGGTCCGGTCAGGCCCAGTCAAGTCCACTCAGGATTGGCCAGATCCAGTGATGCCCAAATAGGAGCCATTCAGGTCTAGTCAGGCCTAACCAAATCCAGACTGATCCAATCAGGTCCAACCAGATCCAGTGATGCCCAGTTAGGCCCCATCAGGTCCAGTCAGGTCTAGGCAGGCCTAACCAAATCCAGACTGATCCAATCAGGCCCAGCCAGATCCAGTGATGCCCAAAAAGGGCCCATTCAGGTCTAGGCAGGCCTAACCAAATCCAGTCAGGCCCAGTCAGATCCAATCAAGTCCTTCCAGATCCAGTGAGGCCCCATTAGGCCCTATCATATCCAGTCAGATCTAGGCAGGTCTGACCAGATCCAATCAGGTCCGGCCAGACCCAGTTAGGTTCAGTCAGGCACAGGCAAGTCCAGCCTCCTTTAGCCCAGTCCAGATGTTCCTCATCATCTGTCCTCCATCTTCGTTCCCCAGCATGCATCAACTCAGGTGAGAAGACTTAAAGATGAAACACACACGTAAGGTGAGTGCATGCAAACACAAAGCGCACGAGTCTATTAACACACCGTTTTGCTGTAATCTGTGTAACAGTGATAATAATAATCCTTACAGCACATGGGAGAGTTGGGTTGTGGCCTGACCCTTAGGACTGTTGAGTAGATATCTTATCAGAGGAAGTTCACTCACATTTGTCTTCCTGTAGGTTTGTGGTCGACAGTCTGACATGGCAGCACCGCAGCCTGCACACAGTACTGTGCTTAAACGGGGACTTGATATGATATTATCGGTATACAGCTGGCATAACACTGTACTAAAGCCCGCTGGCATCACCCAGCACTGAGTGGCGGCACTGGGAATCTGCTTGGTTTCAAAATTATGTTCACATTGACATTTAACGCAACACGGACAGCAAAGCCACAAGCTCTCCACATATGTACACATACTTCCTGCAATACGGCTCTGATACACTGTTTATATATAGGCTGATTGTAGCCCTAATTTTATCTTAGTTGCCTCCAAATCCTAACAAATCTTAATCATACACTGATATATACGTACAGGGGCACAGCCCCCCCCATGTGGCTCCCATGGCAGAATTGGCAGATATTATACACCCCAAGCCTATAAATGATAATCTTTCCTATCTTGGAACCCCGATAAAGGGCTGCCTGAGTGATTTTATTGACCTCTGTTAAACAGTAAGTGGTGCTACTAGGTTGACTAGTTGACAAAAGGTTTCTAATGAGGCTTCACCTTGGAGCATCTCGTCCCGCTTTTTGGAAATGCATTGTTCTCTGCTCTCCGGATGGACAAGTCCCGCGTATGATGTAACCGTCCTCTTCCAGTCTTGCAGAGTTGGTTATCGATGTGGAACGAGATAAGCCCATTCCTCTGCTTTACCACTGGCTCTATCACCACACCAGGACACCCCAGAGATACATAGCGACCAGAGTTTGGGCTTCGGGACACTGGCAAACATGTGACTTTCCATGTTTGGTGTTTCGTGATGCTGTGATACAGCATTGGCAACTCTTTTGAGAGAGTGCCGTGTGAAGCAACGAATGCTTGGGGTAAGTGGCCAATCTCCAATTTGGGGGTGAACCCCAGAAAATTGTATTCAAATACAATTTTCAAATACCCAAAGTATTCAAATAAACCCTCTGAGAGGCTCTCGCGGGGTTTCCATTTCATACGACAGGAACGCAGAACTCCCGATGTGAGAATTAAGCCATTTCCGATGCGAGAATTAAGCTGTTTCACAATGGCTCATAATAACTCCGCAACACTGCCTTTCAGAAATATAATGACCTCATTCATGCCAAATCAGGCTAATCTGTTATTATGACCTAATGTTGGTGCAAAGTTGTGGCATTCTGGCGCCCCCTACAGTCGCAGACTTGGCACTACTTCGAAAAGCAACTCCCTCAACATCAGTCACCAGTAATGGGAGAAATGTGGCTGCAAAACCCACAATATATAGGTGGACTGTGCACAGTCAATCACAACACAGTTTAACCTAACAGAAGCAATAAAATAACCAATGGGAAGCAAGCTACACCATTCAATGATTGACGACACACAATGATCCCGCCCCCATCGCTATCAGATACCATTACATCGTGCCAGTGTCCAATCAAGATACATGCTGAGATAAGCAGTTACATCAGCATTACAGTAGCTTGAGGCAAGACAGCGACTGCAGGGTTCTGCATTCCATCCTGACAACAAATCATGGTGGTGAAGCAATTTTAATGCCTTCCCACAATGCTCAGTAGTATAACGAGTCAAAAACCTTTCCAATTGGCAGCCTGTAATAGAGAAGGACCATGGAGCTGCTTAAGGAGACTGTTGAGTCACACCCACCTGCTTGAGGGCAGCGTCTACGGGAACCAGCCAATCCAAAATCAGGAGCACTTTCAACACACCAATAGGAGATCTTAGGAGATGCTTTATCCTGTTCATTATATACATACCAGTAGCCAAAATTGTGGAAACTCTTCCAATTTTTAGAGGTTTCAGAACTTTATTGGTCTGTTGCTCCAGTTACCTATTTAATTGTCCAATGTACGATATTTGTAACATTCTTTGATTGTTTATAGACATTACAGCCAATACTTGTATAGTAATTTTTAAAGTGCAATGCTAAAGATGCTAGGTTTGTCCATCATTTTGTCCACTAGTGTGTTTCTCAGACAACAGCAAAGTTTACCAAAACGTTTTTGCATTAAAATAGTTTTTGTGGGGTTAAGAAAAAAACAACTGAGAATGAGAAGTATTTGTGTATGGTCATTTTAATGAGATTAACACAAGCGCTGACTCCCAAAATCCAGTGTGATTTACAAAAGCAGTACGGCAAGAGACTCAACCCCTTCAGAACCACAGGGTTTTGTTCTTCTGTGATTATTGTTCTATGCTGTGAATTAACAGTTTTTTGTGGGTTGTTCACAATTTACTGGGCCAGCCCCGCTGTTTCCAGTGGATTATGGTGCAGTGTTTCACTCTGTTGTCACAAAGACACTCAGAAGGCTTGCAGTGATATCGTTTAGTTGCTGACAGCATTGACATGTAGTAATTAATTGTTCAACACACTGTTAGTAATTGGTCCATAACCCTTGCTTGCTGTCATGGAATCCTCATCTCAAAAGTAACACTTTGTTTTTACAAGTGAAACGAAAAGCAATGAATTGTACCCCAGGGGTTATAAAGTGAGTCACACGCAGAACAAATAAAACAAAGTCACTGAATGCTACAGCAAAATACATGCAGAACTGGGCCCAGTGTATTAAGATTAAATTAGAATTTCAGCAGAATTTTCCCAGTTTCATTATAGTTGGTTATACCTCTACATTGAAATCTTAAATTGTAGGTCCTCAACCAACAGATTTGAGAGAGATACTGGTTTTATATACCTTCTAAATAGCTGACACATAAGCACGAAGTAAAGTTAACTTTATAATCAATGACTTCAGCAAGGTAATTATGAGCTGAGCCCGAGTGATAGCCCGAGTGATAGCCTGTAAACCATATGACCTACCAGAACCAGAGCTGGATGCCCATGTTTCGGAATATTCATGAGCCATCTTCTCCGTGTATGCTCATCGAGGACACTTCAATGGTCAGTTCTAACCGGAATTTTTCCTTTAATGATCCCACAACTGTACTGGCCACCCCCAACCAAAGTTTAACATAAACGTTGTAAAACACATAGCAATACATAGACATTTGTGCGGAAGCAGATTTTGATGCACCACAAATGTTTTAACAATACTTATTAAGGTTACTAAAGGTAATATGCAGAAACAATCTGATGTTAAGCTTTGCTGGAAAAAAAAACTTTTTTTTTTTTGATTGCTTAAACACCAAAATCACAAGTAGTCCACAGGTAGAGAAGCCTTACACTCAAGTTGCAAAACATCAGCCCAGATTTGCACAACTATAATCACATCGGCAGCCTCACATTTTTTTCAAAAAACTAAACACACTTGTACACATTACATGGAGAAATACAACACGATGACGATTTCCTTGCCATGTCAAAGCACTTGATTTCAAATTAGCACACCTATGAACTAACTGGTTAAACACAACCAGCAGGTGTGCAGACACATGGGGGCTTAATTGTAGACACACCAATCAGGTGTAAGCTCTACAAAAAGGCAACAGGTGACTTAAACTGAAATGGAAGGCATGAGAGGGAGAGGGAGAGTGAGGATGAGAGGGGGAGGTGGAGGAAGAGGCTGATGTAGAGGAAGACCTGGAAGAGGGAGAGGACATGATCAAAGAAGAGGACCAAATTTACCAATGAAATTTGTACTGCACCAGTTGACCACATGAAAAACCATGGACTACAACTGAGGGAGGCTGGACAGAAAGTTCAGCCAAGTCTCAGCAGATGCACAGTGGCATCAGTAATTCGGACATTTTGTCAAGAAAACATCCGAGAAAATAGGGGAAGATGCCTACTGTCTACAGTAAACCAGTAGCTTGCTGTATGTACTACATCAGCACTCTTTGGTACCCATTCCTGTGATATTTTACAGTAGGCTGCCATCACATAGAATGGGGTCCTCCGTCGCCATGCCAACTTGGGTCCTTACAATACCACCCTCATTCTCAGATTATTACACTGATTGCATATCATCACAGCAGCAAATCAAACGTATCAGATGTGATACATTGCCGTCTGGGACAATGAATCTTTCCAGCCGATCTCCTCTGGTCCAAAATTGGTTTCTTCAACATCCACAATTTACAATCCAACACCTTCCACCATACTCCCCCTTCCTAAACCCCACTGAAGAGTTTTCTCGGCATGGCGATGGAAGGTTTACGATATCCAGCCCTTTGACCAGATTCCCCTCATTTAAGCCACGGAAGAGTACTGTGATCAAATTGTTGCAGCATCTGTACAAGGATGGATTCGACGTTCAGTGTTTTTACAGCGATTTCCTGCCAATGAGAACATAACCTGCAACGTCGACAAATCCTATGGCCAGATCCAGATAGGTGAAGAGGTGATACCAAGTTTTTTTTAAACTGTATTGGGTACAGTGATTTATACCTTCATCTCTCCAAATGTGTTTGATGAGCTTACAGTAGTATGTACAGTAGTAGCATGAAAACTGGGATGTTGGTCTGAATATGTTTTGTTCTGTTCAGTATTGACTATCCTGAGTATATATAGAGATACACAGTAAATAAATATTTCCATCAGTCTGCAGTATCGGTCTCATGTAGTGTTTGGTGAATTTATTTTTGTACTTTTAATCATTGTGTATTTTAATCATTAGGAAAGCAGACATGATAAAACTTATTGGTTGAGCACATGTGTAACTCATTCAAACAGAATTAGATCATATGATTCATTTGTGTCATAAATAATTGTATAGCTTTGACTTAGGTGTGTCATTCTGCAAAGGATCTGAGGTTCTTCTGCTACTTGAGTGTGTGGTTGGGCTAACTGTGTAGTGCTTTGACAAAATGGGCCCCGTTTTCAAAATTGTGCTTAGGTAATCCAAAAAAAAACTAACACATACATTTTAGACTTCAGTTGAAAAAGATAAACTCTCTATTGTGATACTGCAGCGCCATCTAGTGTACCTGGGACATAAGTGCAAAATGGACTGGAGGAGAAGAAAGTGTAGCGCTGTGATGTATCATTGCTACATATTAACAACCCCATTGATCCTTGAGGCTTATGCTGTTTAGGTGCGAGACACGTACTTTGCCAGTGTAACAACAATAAGCAGAACCGAACGGACAATTTGGGCATGTTGGGAACTACATGTTTCTGCTGTATTTCCAAATAAAAGCGACCGAGATGCTACTCCTAACTCTTCAGCCATCTCCAACACATACAGAGCCGAGGCCTCCAGTCTTTAACATCTCAGTTTCTCTGAGCTCTTTTCCCACACTCGTATTTCACATCCACCCCGGAGTAGACCCCTCTCCCACAGCAACACCTGATTAGAGTGAAAACACCTACTAAACGTGACACGTTGCTCCGGGGGTAAAAGAAAAAAAAAATGTGCCACTTGTCTCTCAACAGAATGAAACTCCACATTCCAGGCATTAAATGTGTCAAACAATTGTACACCTCTGTCGTTAAAGATCAGTAAAACGAGATGGCAAAAGACCAACGAAAGCAAGCATGCAAGTACACATATATTATCAAAAAAACAAAAAAAAAATATATATATATGTTGTGGCATTGCTCTTGACAGACGAGGTAAAAGCATCATAAAGGTTAAGGCATGTAGGACTTTGATGGCTCTCTTGAGGTTGCAGGAAATTCAATCTGCCTCATATTTTTAGATTTGTTTTTACCCGCAGATTGCACTTATTCATGCAGCTAAATGGAACCAAAATAACCAAGTACTTTGCAGGGGTGACACTGCTAACCCACTCTGGGGAGCTGAATCTGAAACTGCTTGAAATCCTACTCCTGACTAACCCCAGCTACCACCCAACAGCAAAAAAAAAAAAAAAAAAAAAACATTGGCTGATTTTGCGTCAATTCTTCCTAGACAGGTGGCCATATTGTCTCAGGAAGTGAGCCGCTTTGCCAAACCACACGTGGCAACCTGAACCACGACTTCACCTAGGAGCCCTGCACCTGAGAAGCAAAGAGAAAGGGAACAAGGAAAGGACCGCGAGGGACTGCAGGCTTGGCATCTCGGTTTTCTGGCCGCTCCTTCCTGTCGGAAAGAAGCAAATTTCTTTAATCCGTTGTAGTAACAACATCCCATCCGAAAACAAAGACAACAGCATGGTCATTATTAATGCATTGGCCATTCAGTCTGATAACTTCTACAGTACTATCCTATTTTAAACCAAGCTGGATTATTTTATTAGATTATATTCTCATATCCTACGTATGTGCAGCAGTATTAAGCTAATAAGGCCAAACATTAAGGGAAGACCCAATACAAACATACAACGAAAACGACTGGATTCCAACATGGTCATTGGTAGTGATAACCAAATGAAGCTTCATGAACCATTTGCTGTATTTTTTTGACTGCACTACACTGTGCTCTTGGTATGCTTTGGAGCATTTTTGAGCCCTTTTGTTGACCAGAGTGCACCATCTAGTGGAGTCAGAAAATACAGCAGATGGTTCAGTGAAGCTTCATTTGACCAGCACTGGCCACTGGCATATTTGTGTTATCAGCTGCTCAATTTTGGGTCCAGCAGGGACAGTAATCTCCTGCAGGCTACACTTTTGCTTTAAGTGTGTTTAAATCATTTTGCAGACTTCAGCAGAACATTCTCTGGCTAATTAATACAGGTCCCTGTATTATTTAGTAATGGCCAAAAGAAGCTTTGTAAACCACTTGTTGCATTTTCTGACCCTACAAGATTGGTCCATAACCCTCTGTTCAAATAAAGGGCTCAAATCATCCCCCAAAGCAAACCAAGATCGCCATCTAGTGGGGTCAAAAAATATAGCAAGTGGTTCATGAAGCTTCGTTTACCCATCACTAGTATGACTGAATTCATGAGCACATACACATACAAATATAACCATCCACACTTCTTATGGATCTGCAAACCATTACATAAGATACACATTCACATTGGGCAATTTGTGAACTTCGAACAGCATGTAATTCAGCTTAAAACCAATTCCAGTGTTTAGCATCATTAGCCTTTCTGTCTCTGTGCAAATCTACAACAAACCCCATGGAATTTTTACCTTAAGCAAAACTCAAAAGACTCTCCGGGCTAATAAAAGCACGGTAATCACAAGGTGTCAACACATTTAATCACCGCAGAACAGCAAAGGGTTAGAATAGGGCAAGGCTGGTCATAAATCTCATAGACGAAAAGGAAAGGAATCTTGTGAAAGTTGTAAATTTTTTAAATAGCTTTAGTTCATCATTTACCTATGCCACGCGTTGCTTCTCAGCTCACAAATGCACACGCAGAGCAAATTCCCTTAAAATCTCTGAAATTTTAACAAGCCCCTACTGGCCATATTAGTCATGTGACTTGAGCTACCGAAACGTAAATATTTCCAACTGGTTCTACTTGTAGTACCTGCATGGATAGTGATATACAATAAGCTAAACTAAAAAACAAATAAACAAAATTAAGGATGTTTCACATCTGTCTACTGTAAGCTGTGATAAATAAAATATTTGACCCTGTCAGCTTATTTGGTTCATTTAAATTCATATTAACAAATGGGCAAATGGTGACCTCTGGTGGCCAGAAAGAACACGCAATGGTGCTGCAGCCTGGACTATACAATACCTGTTATTTTCGCAGGTCTCCAGACCTCTCGATCACAATGGTCTTGGATGATTGCACAGGGGACGTGGCCTGGTAGTCGTCACTGAGAAGGCCCAGGATGGGGTACTGGTTGGAGAACCTATGGGAGAGGCAGCGCAAAAACTCATACATTTTGGTCCTAGGTCTGGTTGAACTACCCTATACATGGTAAAGTTTCAAATAACAAAACTCGAATGAAAAATCTAAAGATGAGCAGTACGGGAAGTTCACCTTGATGTGATGATGGTCCTGCTGGAATAGTCACTCTTCTCCTTTTGGAGCCTCCTGATTTCCTGTAGTCAGAAACGCATCGGTAAGTACTAGTGATGGACAAAATAACGCTTCCCTGAAACAACTGCTGTATTTTTGGATCCCACTGGATGGCGCTCTTAGTTTGCTTTGGGACATGCTTTGTGCCTTTTTTGAACAGAACGCACCATCTAGTGGAGTCAAAAAATACAGCAAACTGTTCATGAAGCGTCACTTTGACCATCACTAGTAAGGACTCGGCCACTGCAAAAAGACAGCATTAGCATGGGTTTTAGCGTAGCATATAAAACTATTAGCTTAGGCTAGCAGGTACAGGGGACAGCCTAAAGAACACCACTGTGATTTTAGGTTCATTAGCCATCAAGCTCTGAAAAGTGGCACGCCCTGTAAGCAGCCGATGTAATCTCTGACCTCCTCCTGTCTCTTGATGAGGCTCTCACGTTGCTCCAACTTGGTCAACATCTCCGTGATTCGCAGCTCCAGACTCCGGTCTCCTGTCGTCTGCGTGGAGTACTCAGTCTTCACCAGGATGAGCTGGGACTGCGACGCCACACGCACATGCAGCAGACAAGCCCCGACACACCGACCCAGGCAAAGGCAGAACAACGACCACATATTAGCCATAATTACTGGAGCCTTCTCCAACTGACTTGACAAGCCTTGACTGGCTGATATGACATCACCTATAATTAGCCACACACTACAGACCGGTGCCAAGAAAGCGGGGAAGGGTGAACTTACTCGTAGACTCTGGATCTCCTTGTCCTTCTCGTGCCGCAGTGCATTAAGCATGTCGTTGTACTGCTTGGAGAGTTCTTCTGTTTTCTGCTGAAAGCCAGTGATGTTACCCTGACCGGTCACCTAAGGGAGGAAGAATGAATGCACCCCATGTAAGAAATCGATCGCATGAAAAAACTCAATGCAGTACTGCAGTCGAACTGTTTCTCTCACCAGCCAACCCAAATTCACTTGGTACCAAAATGTTCAGCACTAAAGAGGCTGCATCATCACAAACATCTGAACAATGTACCCAAGGCTGGTGTGAAGGTCCTGAGCAGCCCCAAAGACACCCCGTAGCTCTGTGATGTGAAACCTCTGCCCCGAGTACTCCAAGTATACCATCAGACATGATACATGTTTCAGTTAGCCCTCGATTGCCCAAGCTTGCTTGTCCACATAGTTCTTTGCATGATCACAGACCACAGGCTACAAAGCATGCGAGATGAGGTTGAGGTTGGCCTCTGACCTTCTGCCTCAGTAGGCTGTTCTCTTGCTCCAGCGCCCTCAGGCTGCCCTCCAGCTCCTTGATGCGGTAGTCGCGGTTAGAGTCTGAGCCCCGGACAGACATCACCTGGGACTCCAAGTTATTCTGGGTCAAGGTGCTTTCCTTCAGGGACACCTGGGACATGGAGGTTGGGAGGTTGACACACAGAGCTGTTTTAGTGGCATATGCTGGCCTTTGACACCAGCTCCTTGCAATCTCTGACTTTTATTTCCCCAGGATTTCCTCAGAAACTACACACCTATCGTCCAGAGCCATTGTCACACCTAACACCGTTTGGGTTACGTTCTTTCTGGGAAACCAACTTTGATTGCACCACAAGGTGCTGGAGACAACAAATGAACACAACATCCTACCTGCAGCTGTCTGTTGTTCTCCCGTAAGGAGTCCAAAAGGCGGTCATATTGTGACGCTTGGTCTGCCTTGTAGCTCAGGTCCTTCTCCAGCCCCTCCTTCTCGGACTCCAGGCGCTGAAAGAAAGAGATCGCCCCGTCACTGCCATGTTGATGGATAGATTGCAACCCGCTTGTCATCTGTTTTCCATCAACTCAAATTCACTTCACTAATATCAAGCAATCAACTCCAATCAGTACTGGAAATTATCTGAACATCAATTCCTGCTAAAATATACATTTTTTTAAAGTATATTAGTTATTAATTCAAACATTTATTCAACACATTTAATCGAACACCCCAGGCATACAAACTACTGTAAGTAAACAGCTGACATTCTAATTAATTTAGCTTCTTCAGCATTAGAGTGTTTTGACAGCCCTGGGCCATAGCAATGGATTTAAACACCTCGTTAACAGGAGTACGGCGGCAGGTGGCCCTGCAGTGCTCACCTTCAGGTCATCCTGTAGGTGGAGCAGCTCCTCCCTCAGGCTGCTGAAGGTGGCCAGGAGGAGACGCATGGTCTTGTCGGCAGTGGAGCGTGTCTGAAAGCGAAAGAGGCGTAACCGCGACGCTCCACAGGCCTTTTCATCTGGGGTGCGCAGTTCATTTCGCACAACTATGTTAATGCAGCGTTGCTGCGCTAGCAGGGAACGTGGACCCTACATAGCCCAGTGAGAGGCTGCAGCGCATTTACCTGCAGCAGGTAGCGTATTTGCTGCTTGGTCAGCTCTGACATGCCTTTGGGGATCAAGTCCTCGGTCTCGTCTTTCTCCACCTTCAAAGGGGCGGGCAGGTGGCCAGATGGACGGACGGACAAACAAACAGACAGGGCCTCATTGAGAGATATTCCCTACAATAACTTGAGATGGTATGCAGTAAAGAAAACTTGCCGAAAGACGAAAAATGACCTTCACGCAGTGAATGTCTCCACCATCTTACCTTGTAGTCGATGCTGGGGTCCAGGAGGTGTTTCCTGTTAAAATATAAGGCAAATGTATGCACACATTAAATGCTAACTGGTTACTGGAAATAGCTGAATTATCCCTCAGGGATAGCAGTCATACAATTTATGGGAGTCTGAATGCAACTTCGACGAAAATAGATATGTGAAATATATGTCAGATCCTTCAGAGACTATCTGAGGTTTGGTTTTGGTGTTCAGGGCTATTCTGGTGACTGTGAAGCTTTGAGGATGTCTTACAGACTGTATCAAGTTCATATGTTTAATGCTCCAGCCATATAAATGATGCCTTGGAAGATCATAGATAAAATAACATCGAAGATGGAAGCAGGCCGAAGACCATACACACCGTCCCCGGATCTTGACCACATTGTCCGAGATGTAGTTGTGAATGTCGCTGTTTTTGCGGTACACCTCTGCCAGCAGTTCTCCGAAGTAGCGCGTGTCTAGCTTCTCCTCCTCCACTTCCACGACTGGTAGCTTCACCTCAGGCAGGGTCTCCACCGGGCTGCCGAAGTTCATGCTGCTGTTGATGTTGATGGTCTCCTCAATCTGAGGACCAGCAATACTGTGTTCATTACCGTTACACCACAGTTTGGTCAGAACAATAAAAAAAAAATAAAAAAATAAAATGTGGGATAATTCTGCTCATTACAATAAGTCTAAAAATAAAAGACAACCAATCCATAGAAAATGTAACGATCCGAAGACAGAGCTCTGAGGAACCCCTTTTTCTATAAAGCAGTTTATCAGTGAAAAGGGGCAGCGTCTTTTTGGGAGGAAAAAAGCACCATTATCAGTGATGCACATTGAAGATTTCACCATGTCCCAGCAGAAATCCATTGCACCATGACTCAAAAGGTTAATTTGGCAGCATAGTTTCAGTAGGAAAAAAAAATCCAGCTAAACAAGTCATATACTCAAAAAGAGTGTTATATACAGTAATTTTAACACTTTTCCCATGCCTCATTTTCATAGCAATACATCTTGCAATAAAAACAGCTGTCAAGGTACAATAGTGAGAAGTTCATAAAGAATTTTTAACTGCTAAGGATTTACGTATATAAGATAAGGACAAGTGTGGGCAAAACTGAGCCAGAGCCTCTCTCACAGCATTGAAATCCTCCTAATCAAACAAAACTATCAAAGCAGAATTCAGGGATTAGTTCTTGTTTGGTTGGACTCTGATAGTTGGATGAAGGGCACATGGAAGTCATCCAGCGTAAGAGGAGCTGTTTGTACATGAGAGCCATTTTTGGTTTTATCTTTGTTTTTTCGATCGTGTTTTGCTAAAGGGTCTTAAGGTTCCCCCTGCAAGGCACAGTTCTTGCACAGGTCATGCGTAACACCACACGTCTGTAAACCTTAACGTCCCCCCCCCCGTTGATGCACACGTGCCAACTGATGACATGTGATACATATACACTGCACCTTAAATAGCTTATCATAGCTGCCAGAAGTGCTTAGAGACCTCGTTACCCCAAAACAGGGACGCTCCTTCAGCGACATGCACAAACAGCACAGGAAAGCGATTAAGAGCAATGTACACGCAACTGCCAAAAGCAATTAATTTCATTAACGAGGCTTAACGAGGGTTAATGAGGTAATGGCATGAGTGCAGTGCAAACGACGCAGTAAATATCTGCCAGACTGAGACAGCAGGTGTCAGGGGACGCCATAGACAGTTTGGGGGTTTGTAACATTTCAACTTGCTCACTGGGTGTTACTCAGTGTGGCAGCAACTGCACCCACACCCAAACATCTCACTGGCCTTAGCTACATCAAGTAGCTACGTCAGTATTGTGGGTGGTAGGAGATGACATTGAATCACTGTGTGGACTAGGAGGCTCTGCAGGACAGTAGACAAACCATGTATTACTTTACTGGTCTCTGTTACCAGGGAGGGCTCAAGGTATAAGCAAACAAAGCAACGGTTTAGGGCCCAGCAGCCACCAGGGGGCGCCCCTATCCAATCAGCCTGTCAGAATAGGATGAACGATGACACCTAGGTTAATAAAATTTTGCTTAGGGCCCCAAAAAGAGTGAGGCTAGCCCCGTCTTACTAACCATCGTTACCGTTTGTCATATGAGAGATCAAAGACTAAATAAGCCCTCGGGAATGGAATGGTTTGTGATTTCTCCAGTCCAAGATCTTACACTGGGGATACATAAATATTTTTAGCTGAATAGTTGATACTTCTATTTGAAGTGACTCTTCCAGGGGGACATTTCACCAGAGCGCCATGTTAACATGAGAGGCCACGTTAATAACCATATCTCTACCTCCACCAGCTACCCTGCATGTACGTTCTGCTCCGGCGGAGGGGACTCGATGAAGAAAGCGGGTATAAACGGCCCGGAGCCTTGCAAATGGGCGGGTCTAATGGGTCGTCGGCCTACATTCCGCCGTGGAGACGCCCATCGGCAAGGCAACACTTGTCTGCCGTTGAATCACCCTTACAGTAAAGTGTAAACGCACCCCAGTTGGAGTAAGCAATCGCTACACTCCAGTTTCAGATGGGGGGGGGGGGGCTGAACTCCGCTGGGAAACCAACAGTACAGGATAAACAGGAACATCTCCCGAGGGAATATGACACTGCCAGCCACTTTGAGGCCCACACCTTTGAAAGTGTCGCCATATTCCTTACATGAGGTGACCATTTCTGCGCAGCACCACCTTCTCTGTGCAGCACCACCTTCTCTGTGCAGCACCACCTTCTCTGTGCAGCACCACCTTCTCTGTGCAGCACCACCTTATCTGCGCAGCACCACCTTATATCCGGCCAAACTAATCGGGGTCTTAAAACCCGAGCGTGCAGGTGAACACAATAAAACTTTCAGTGGCCAAAGCTTCTATCGGTCTCTAGTGACAACGGTAAAGACCGATTAGTGTCATCAAATTAGCCTAATTTCCTCGTACTGGTTTAATATTACCCCAGGAATGCACGGGGGCTTCAAGCAAACCGCACCCTGCATGCTGGTTATCATCAAACCCCTTCCTGATCCAACACAGCATTCCCACCTCCAGCTCCAGAGGTAGAAAACAGCTCCGGGCAGCAAACCATATATGAAAACCAAAACCAATCGGGGTGAAACCTGATACGGGGAACTTCTACCTCACAAGCCGCCCTGCCGGGGTATCGATTTACGCTTGTCATTGTTAATCTGGTGAGGCGTCGGCTCTCAGTATAAGTGCTGAAACGGACCAGCAGATAATGGGCCGTGGGTTACAGCGTTGCATGCGGATCCACGGGGGCCGAGGCTAAAGGCAGAGGAGGAGATCTTGAAACCGAAACGAAGGCCGAGGAAAAACACCGCATGCTCCGTGTTATTTCGAAATGAGAAATACACCAAAAAACAGCTACACAATAAAGCCAGTATTGTTTTTGTTTAACTCAAATCGTCCCGAAATCGTCCTGACGGCATTAAAACCTGTTTCATTACCACAGGCCTCAGCTCTCAACTGCGCCTCACATGTTACAGACTCACCAGCATGGGACCCACTGGGCTTTTACTCTAACATGCTCAGTTTTGGGTGGGACCCCGCCAGCAGGAGCGGACAGGTCCCAACGGCTCCACCTTTCCGTTTGCCGCGAACATTGTCAAACTACAAGCTCAGCTTCCCAGGGTTTATTTCTTTTCTTTTTTTTTTTTTATTTTACATTTTTTGACATCACCTAATCATTTTCCTTGCCCGCTGGCTGAACCACGGCAGGTGAAAAACAGCTGAACCCTGCTGTTAGCTTGCAAAGCAACATGCCAAAGTAATTTTGTGTACCTGAGTATGAAACAAGCAGAAGAAAACAAATAATGCTGTATAAGTACACGGATTACCTGTGTACAGATTGAGGGGCTGAGAAACAGGCAGTGTGCTGTTGTGTTCAGTGCCCTCCTTAGGCGGTGTGCCTTTAATGTGGTGTTCAGTGCCCTCCTTAGGCGGTGTGCCTTTAATGTGGTGCTCAGTGCCCTCCATAGGCGGTGTGCCGTTAATGTGGTGCTCAGTGCCCTCCTTAGGCGGTGTGCCGTTAATGTGGTGCTCCGTGCCCTCCTTAGGCGGTGTGCCGTTAATGTGGTGCTCAGTGCCCTCCTTAGGCGGTGTGCTGATAATGTCGTGTTCAGTGTCCTCCTTAGGTAGTGTGCCAATAATGTCGTGTTCAGTGCCCCTCCTTAGGCGGTGTGCTGATAATGTCGTGTTTAGTGCCCCTCCTTAGGTAGTGTGCCAATAATGTCGTGTTCAGTGCCCCTCCTTAGGTGGTGTGCCGATAATGTCGTGTTTAGTGCCCTCCTTAGGTGGTGTGCCGATAATGTCGTGTTCAGTGCCCCTCCTTAGGCGGTGTGTCGATAATGTCGTGTTCAGTGACCTCCTCACACATATTTTTAATATCATCTGACATTACCAACATTCACAAATAATTTTTAAAAAGGTATTGATCAGTTATACTTGCAGAGACGATAACATTAGATGGGTATGAACCAAAATTTACAAATGATTAAATCCGACAATCCCTGCCCCGCCCCGCCCCCACTCTGAATCAAAGGCTCTCCACAAGATGAGGTGTTATCTTAAGAGAAACTTTATTGATCCCAGAGGAAATTTGCAAGAATTCTGCTTACAGAATTTCTATATCTTCAATGTTCCTAATTTAAAACATTATTTTCAGCTTTCCCCAATATTGTTATGTTCCCCCTGAACAAATGTGAATCCCTGTGAAATGCTTTATGGCAGATTCCGGAAAAACATGATACTACATCAGTTCTGATTTGCTGATTTGGCATCAGATGTGTCAATGTCTCGCTCTTGCTTCCGTTTGACAAACTCTGAGGATGACGTCCAAAACTCCACCCAGAGGGAAATACTTATTTGAGTGATGAAAGATAACATTTTTTACTGTGTCTGATTCATTGATATCTGTGGTGAAAGTAGAGACTATGCCAGGCTGGCTTACCAGTGATTTCCCACAGAGACATAAGGGCAGAATCGCAAAACTCTCTATAATTTCTCAACTTCATGTCACATGACTGCAGGATCTCTCTATAAGTATCTCTCACCAATGTGGCAGTGACTACACACAGCTGACACCTACAGTTAACAAGACAGAGAAATATCCCTGAACACCACAGAGAAATACCTCTGAACACCACAGAGAAATATCTCAGAATGCCACAGAGAAATATCCCAGAATGCCACAAATATCCCTGAACACCACAGAGAAATACCCCTGAACACGGCAAAGAAATATCCCAGAATGCCACAGAGAAATATCCCTGAACACTGCAAAGAAATATCCCAGAATGCCACAGAGAAATATCCCTGAACGCCGCAGAGAAATACCCCTGAACACCACAGGAAAAAAAACATCAAAAATTTCACAAAGCATGATCCCAGGTCTCCATGCTTGTGTCTCTCAGAGCTGCTGGTTTATTCACACGTGGTATCTTTGAGTATTCAGAGAAAAAGTCTTAGAAAAAAAAAAAACACATAACCAGTTGTGCATGTCACACCTTGACATACTGCGAGGGCCTGCAGCAAGACCTTGCTCTAAACACAAGTCCCTTCAGGGAGATTCGCAGCCACGCCAGGCCAGACACGCCCACTCCATAAACCACAGCAACACACTGCCCTTTGATATCAGGGAAAGGCATTTCCCACTTTCACGCTACGTTAGTGTGCGTGTCATGGCCAACTGCGGGCTGGACGGCCGCGTGCGACCACAGAGAGCGCAGAAAGCAGCAGTTCTAGACTGGCTATTTAAGAGACATCTGAAACAAAAAGAAAAACATGCTTGGCCACATGTCATGGCTACTATTCCGGAAGAGTCCATTTTCCATTTGGGGGGGGGAGACTGCCCTCGAGGACATCGTGCATAACTAGGCTATCATTGATGCAAATCCAATGCGAATCAGAACAGACCAAATGAGCCACTCCAATCAGCAGTTGCACTTATACTTAGAAGAAGAAAAAAAGTTACCCCCCCCCCACCTCAAATGATGTAACGCAAGTCCCATGTTTCTGAATCAGGCACGTAGCTATGTAGTAATATTACGGGTTTGAACCCCACCCTGAAATTCTTTTTGTCACAAATCAGGCACATAGCCAGTTACCAAAATCACAAGTTTGAACCCCCCACTGAGAGCCCCCCCCCCCAGTTCACTGTTGACACTCTGGGCCTTCGGAGCTGCTCCTCTATTTCCAGCATTCGGCAAAACCATTACGAAAATTATTCCCGGTAATTAAGGTGACAACGCTCCTTAATTTATCACCGTCAGTGAGGGCAAGCAGTTCTGACAACCTAATAAATCAGGCACAACGACAATAACTCGCTCCTCTGAAAACACGCAAAGCAATCCCATGGACTTCACCTGTCCTCTAGTAACCCTGGCCTCAGTCATTTGATAAAATGGAAATGAGGGCAGACCTAACAGACAAAAAAAAAAAACTTAGGTGGTACCGCTTGAGTAGCCAGTGGGGTGGGGTGGGGTGAGAATTTCTCACAGGGAATCTTCATCAGGGTCACATGATCCAAGTTCCTTTTCATTATGACATCATAATTCCTGAGCACAGATTAAAGGGATATACACCTAAAACACATTCCACCTTCAACTAGCGCTGCCCTACTGTCAACTAGCCATCTCACATTGCCAAAATATTGTGGAAAAGGAGTGCCTTTCTTTTCCCTCAACCCTATATGTTATTCTGGCTCTGTTTTGGTAGCTAAGGTGTGGCCAGTCTGTCTTTTCCTTGCAGATCCTCCATGCGAAAGCTTACATTGTGCCGCTCCCAGAGTCGCCAACTCTGACTCCAAGAGTTTGCGGCTTGCGAGCAGGGAGAGGCGTCGCGATACCACCCGCCGTGATTCACCCTACCGAAAAAAAAACAATAGCTGCCCTTCGTCTCGCCCACACCCGTCCCCGCAGACGGGCGGCGGCGACGCAAGGCAGAGAACGCGGGGGGCTGCAGAACGAAAGTGAACTCACATCAAACAAAACAAACAAACAAAAAAAAAAACGCAAGGCCTTGTGTCGTGTCAGCGTGCAGGTGCGTGTCTCCATACGTTTGCTCGTTTACCTTTGATGATGACTTGACGGAGGTTGGGGATTGGCTGAAGACAGATGGCGTTTTCTCACCGGCATTCTGCGAAAGACAAATTAATGAACTGAGGGACGGACGTGGACCCCAGGGTTAGAGGTAACAAAGAGCACAGTGACCAGGTCAGATCCACACTGATCTAACGGTCATGAGGAATAACAGCAAAAATATGTCACAGAAACTCTGAATGAAAAGGTGTGGTGACATATCATTCTATAAGGGCGTCACCTGACTTTTTCATTGATTTGCCTGCCGCCTCCTTTCTTGGACTTGAACCAAAGTTTGAAAATTATTAAATCTGACAATCCCTGCCTCGCCCCCATCCTGAATCAAAGGCTCTCCACAAGATGGGGTGTTATTTTAAGAAAAATAATTTCTAAGCAACTGCCAGAGTCTCTGCTTTCCGTAGCGGAGTCACTCCATGGAGTCTGGCCAAGACTGTCTGTCACATTCCCTACCAGCCCCACTTTAATGTGCATTACTGAGTATTTTTGCACCAGCTAACAGCAAAATGCAAACTGTCACACACACACACACACACACACACACACACACATATATATATATAACACATATAATCGTTATTGCTCAAATCACTTAATGCCCCTACTTTCTACACACTCTTAGAATAAAGAATACTTCTAACATATCTTCTTGCTACATTCAACAAAACAGGACAGGTATATAAGGGTTTAAATAGAGTAAGCTATGTATTTTCGACTGGCCAATAATGACCTGTGATCTTTCTTTCGTTTGTTCGGTAGTGGAGGGGGAAAAAAAGCAAATATCCCGCCAAAACACAAGCTCGTCACAAAACAAGCGAGAGCAGGAGGGAGGCAGAGAACGGAACGTTAGGCGTGTAAATGTTATTTCGCAAAAAGTTATGCAATATGAAAGCAGTTTTGTTGCAAAGGTAATTTCAGCTCTCTAACAGTGCATGTTATCTTCCCCTAACGGGGAATTTTACAATATTATAATTCAGCATAATAATAATAATAGAAAGGTAATCATTGTTATTTATAGCAGCATAATTATTATCGTTGTTAAGCAATCGTATTCAATATTCATTTTAGTTTTGTTTTCGGGATTTTAACTCGTGATTTAATCTGCTTTATTATTTTTAACTGGTTCATTTCAGTTTTTTTAATGTCTTAAAATCCAGGTGAATGCCAGCCAATCCTTTCGTACGGTTTTTGCCCAGTAAAAGAAGCCTCTGACCGATTAGTTACAGTATCTGTTTTTCACCCGCAGCTGAACCAGTTTATCAGGTGGGTAAGCAGTTCAGCCGTAACAAAACCTGATAAATATTACTCTGAAGAACTCACTTCAACTTCGATGTAGCGCTGGGTATGGATCAACTCCGAATCATCCACGCTGTTCACCGCGTATCCCTGGACTTTTTGCATATAGACCGGCGACGACACCATCTGCGGGGCGTTGTTGACCAGCACGTAGGACTCCGGTACGACTCTCCGCTCCATCGGCACCAGGTAGCGCACGGTCTCGTAGACCATGTTGTTGTCGGCGGGGACTCCGTTCGAGGCGTATTGCAGACGGGACATCGGCATCGACGACAAGTTCACGTACTGCACCCCCGACTGCAGGATCTCAGGGTCGGAGGAGACGCTGGAAGACCGATAGGTCTGGGTAATATACTGCTGCGACATGATTGACCTGCCGAATTAAATGCCAGTTAAGTGCAGAATTAACGCCAAGCAAAGTAATGTGTCGTATACCTAAAGGTCCCCGGGAGGGACACGAAGCATGTGCGCCTAAAAAAACAGTATTTAAAAGTAAGGATGGAAAAGGAAAGAGCAGATACGGTGTGCGCTGGGCCGAGGCTGGATCCAGCGGCTGAGCCACTTCCTTGATCGCGGCGTTTCTAACCAGATCCCGAGGGCGGTGTGTGCAGACCCGCCCCCGTCACACCTAGTCCGCCAGCCTTCGGGAAATTCACGCGAACCTGTCTGCCGCAAAACAAGCAACCCAAGAAGCCTTGTTATAATGCACCCTTTGCATTTCATATAAGTAACAAACTTTAATGCATATAAAACCATGGCGATTTACAATTTTATTTTGGTTGTGTGATGGATATATAATAAGCATATACAAAAATAATAGTTTTACTTACTGAAGTAAATAGTTAATTATTAGCTGAACACTTCTTCGCCAATTCATATTGTTTAGGCCTAACGTAAAATGTAGTGTTGTTATTGTATAATTAATATTTAAATAGATAAAACAAAGATGTATGTTTTAGGTTTGACACAAAAATGTTGTTTTAAGAGCTGATAACGGTTACAGTAATTTTGTGCATGTTTGACCAGAATCAAATTAACTTTTATTCCTATTAATATTGTGGCAGTACCGGGGGTTTAGGGGAGAGGGGGGTTTGACCCCTACCGATGTTGTAACCAATCCGTTGCCATTGCTTTTAAGTACTGAAAGGTAAATAAATAATATAAAAACAAATACCCCAAATGAGTCAGTTTGAAGAATCAGCAGATAAAGATAAGGATATATTTACAGTTAACTCAAAATAACTCCGAATAGCCGTTCGCTTTCTCTGTGTGTCATATAACAAAATATTTACCATGCCTTGACAGATGATTTTACTGGGGATTATAATTAATGAAATAATATATTTAATGCATCCCTAAAAGTACTGAAACATTAATAAGCCAGTGCAACTGTGGTTTTACTGTAGTTCTCCTGGTTATTAACCGATTCATTTAAGCGCATAAACACAATTCCGAACCGCAAGTTAATTTCTAGAAACTGTATTGAAGCACAGACTGTAATAACGAGCAATTCATAAAAGTAATACGAAAACCCGCAAAATTGCTAATGTACTTACTCGTATCTGCAATGCCGCTTCTTACCACAGACCACGTCATGATTATATTGTGACAATAACCTAATCAATAAATTGGTTTGAGGCACTTTCTGGGCAGTTTTACTTGAAATATGAAGTCAGTGGAAAAGACTAGAACCATGAGATCACTGTAACAGTTGTCTCCAGTGTGATACACTGAACAGTGACATCATAGTACTCAAAATACTTTTCATATTTTACTCTTGCATCTCACATACTCCTCTGCGACAATAATGAGCATGTGACACAGAAATCGGGCAGACAGTGCGTGGCTTTTGTAGGATGAGGTTTCCTTTGCAAGGACTGGGTAGGAAAATTGGTCAACGTGAAAAACAAACAAAACAGTTTTTGGCAAGAAAATCGTGACTGGTGTGCTGCTATAAATAAATCAGCTGCAGGAGGAAAAACCAGAGGGATATGGACAGGTTTAATGAAGTAAGGAAGAAGAGAAAAACATTTACGGTGGTAACAGAGAAAGGAATAAGTGGACTGAATCAAAATAACCAATTGTGCCTCCTTTCCAGAACATTCCCTCATCTCACACCCTAAGTACACCAAACCGGTTCTGTTCAAACCTGATTGGCCGTGCAGAATCCCATCACCCACAGCGGTGTTTCTCAACCCAGTCCTCAGGGACCCCCAGACAGTCCATGTATTTGCCCCCTCCCAGCTCCCAGCCAATCAGGAACACCGAATACCTAGTACAGGTGTGTTGGGACATTGGAAGGAGAAAAAATATGGACTGACCAAGGGTTCTCTAGGATTGAGCTAAGAAACAATGAACTACACTGTTCCCCTAAAGCCTTGAAGTGTAACAGAGTAGAATAGCATTTGAGAAAATCTAATTTATTTAGATTTATTATGATTTACTTTGCCTGCTGGTCAAAAAAGTCGTCATATTAGGTTCTTGTTTTGTTATTAGTTGTTGTGTAGCTCTTGCTCCAGGACTGCTGACACTCGTACCCGGGGCATTCACTGGAAGCTCAGCCTAGCAGCACTTATGCCTATTCACCTCCTCGACAGTCACATGTTTGTAATGTGCTGTTTGCCTCAAGATGAGGTGTCTCTGGACAAAAGCGTTTGCTAAATAAACAGAAAGGCAAATAATTTGAATCCCTGTCAGATCACCTAGTTGACGCAACACATGCACTTGTAAAGTCTGTGGCGAAGAATGTTGACAGTTAGGCCACATTACTCACTGAACAAACAATTAGCGTGTACCACAACACGGTGTTGATTTTAAAGGTAAACCTCATACGGTGTCGGACGCCTCCCCGAAAGATCTGAGATCAGCCAAACGAGGCGGCACGCCCAGATCATTAGCAATGGGACCAAGTAAGCTGACAATGAACAGCAAAGGACACTGAAGTATGGAGCTGCTTAAGCATGGAAATCTTGGAACGCCTTCCTTGGGGATGTGATCGTCCCCCACCTCCCCCTTCCACTGAATGCCTTAATTATCATTGCACATTAAATTTTCACTTCCCCCCCCCCTCCCTCCCGTTAGTGAAGCAAGCTTCGGGGCACAGGGTTCCGGCCATTTTTCTGCCACCGCTGCAGTTGATTTTGGGGTTAAGGCCCAACTTCGATATGAATCCAGCTGGGATTCAAACTAGCAACCTTCTGGAGAGGTGCACAAATTACAAGGACAGGCCAGCTGCCGGTGTGGGACAGGCCAGCTGCGGGCAGAGGAAGCAGAGAATATTTTAATGGTTTTTTTTTCCTGACAGATGCAGTTTGTTGACTTTGAGTTTCTCTTTCCTTCACTGCCTAAAGCTTTCTTCTCACTCTCGTGCTCTTCCACCCCGTAACTCAATCGCTTAAAGCCTCAATTGCATGTTTTAATTACATGCTTTGTTAGCTTGGGAAGAGCACATATATACGAACCAGAGAGTAAACTAATCCAATTCCTCCGCAGCGTGGGTGGATATTTCAGCCTCGTTGGAGAACAAGGGCTTCTGTAGACACCGAAATTCATTATCTTTGAGTCTGCAAACTCCACAAAAGTTTTAAGTACCAAGTAAAATGACAAAAAAAAAAGATTTGTATTTATATATAAGAAAGAAAAAAAAACGTGCTCTGGTTGAAATTTTATCCTGTGCATTCAGGGCAATAGAGTGATACAGTTCATGAAGAGGGACGAATCCCTTGACAATAGCTGGTCAATCAGAGAAAACATGTTTAGGGTGTGCGGCATTATACAATGAGGGTGGGGCAGTGCAATCGTCCAATTCACCTACCGGCCTCTTTCCACCACAACACCGCAGCTCAGTAAGAAATCACTGCCTTTCTTCAAAGGCTTAAGTCATCCTCTCAGTGCTTGTGAGCTTATCTGGACACAATTAATTTCCACTTCACCAATTTCTTCTATTTCATATTTAATCCATAAATACATAATTCTGCAGCTACTACTCATTCGCCTCCTTAGATGTTTCATCAGTACTCTCAGTTCGGTCTAATCCTCTTATTTGTTAATGACTCAATGACACGATTTAGAATTCCTATCTACTGATGTGCGAAACACTAATAAAACGTCTTGAACTTTGCTGCACCAGTAAGGAAAGATAAGCTGGTCCACAAGGTCTCTCGCACGCTTGTACGTCAATAAAAGGTGTAAAGCAGGACCCAGAGTCAGAGATTCATTAAGGGAACACAGCCAATATTAAGAACATCAGCACATGAACCTTATTTAATTGTATTGTGGATGCAACCATTTCATAAAGCAAGATTCCATCTGTTCAAAGACAAAATTACATTTCCATTACAGAACAACTAAATCAACCAAAGAGTTTTTGTGAATAACGAATAAATACACTATCACAAAAAATAACAACTTGGTGCAAATGACTAAGAAACTCAACAGGCCTGTCATGGTATAAAGCTACAGCTTACCACAGTAAAAAAAAAACGTTATTTTAGTAATATAACAGCAACGATATTATGCAACTGACTGAGACTGGAGAATGGCAAGTTATTAGTAGATGTTCAAGTATTGATGAGACACAAAACCGGCCCATAATGTAACACTTCTCCCAAAAGATTTGACTTAGAACGCCCCCCCCCCCGACGCCATCCGTAGCCTAAGCGCCATGTGTTGCTGTATCTCTGCTCCCCTCCTTGCGTTTTAGCCTGAGCTAGCTGCGCCAGGGGAAAAATTTTTTTTATAAACAAACAAACCTGTACACTCTAGCTACGGAGAGCTGCGGGACTAGCGGAGCCTGCGGATACAGCTGACGAGTTCGGCTGGGGGGGGCCTTTATGACCAATAATCGCGATTAAAACAAGCTGATAATGAGCAACAAGCCAGCTGGCCATTGGCTACTGGGGTTAGCAAAACCAGCCAATAACAGGCCATATAGATCAGAAGTAACAGTTAAATAACCAATGAAGAGCGGCAAGCCTCTGGCCGTCTCTTTGGTAGCGGCACATGGCCTGGTGGTCAGGTGGAGGAGTGTTGGAGGGGGTGATGACACGTACGGCCTGGGAGTCCTGCAGGTGGGGCATCTCTAACAGCATGCTTAGAGTGGTCAGCTCAGGTGTGGAGGCCCGGAACTTATGGACGCATGGCTCTGTGATCAGTACTGTGCAAAAGGACAGAAATGGAACTAAACATTTACTGAATGTCGCTTCTGCTCAAACACTGCAACAAAAACATATAAAATGAAAACTGAACGAATAAAAGACTTTTAAAAAAAGACACTAAAATGTGGCTCAAAAATGCAAGTGTGGTTCTCCTTGTGCGTCTGACACGGACCGTTTCGACTCGAGGGTGCTGCACTGGTTCTTTGGCACTGAACAGATACCCCAGACACACACACCGTGATCCCCCTGCCTCGCGGCGAGGCAGCTCATCCGGAGCAAACTGGCAGGTGGAAGAGAAAGAGCAGCCCGGCAGAACCTTCCGGGTAACAGCTGGTTTCTATGTCTCCTCTGAGACTCTTAACCCAAACAGGCATTGGGTTGTCCAATCGTTATAGATACGCGGATGTGCTGAGTAGCAAGTGCAGAAGGTGGCTACAGAACCAGTCTAAGGATCCACCAAACATGCAGCAGTTCTGCACCATTCTTCATGGTTAAGGACTCCCAAACGGTCTCCAAGACCGTATTACCGACGTTTAAGTTGTTAGTTGATGTGGATGCACCGTGGTTAAATTCTTGGCTCCGGGGGGGTGGTGGAGGGTGTGGGGAAGACACCCTCGGGGACGATCCTTTTCTCCAAGCCCAAATTGGGCATCTGCCCATAAGCCAAGGGATTAGCTGCCAGGGGTCCGTGTCGGAGCAGACGGAGACAGTGGATGTAAATAATAAAAACAGAAAACATGTGTACACAGGCTGTTCAAAGAAAAAATAAATATCTGAGAATTAAAACAGACATTTGAATAGACGGAGTGTACAAGCACACCAGGGGTGATTAAAAGAGGTGGGATTGTGAATGCAGGAGGACGCTGGGGGCAGGGTGCGGCAAGAGTGGGCGGCCACAAGGGCGGCGGCCTCGCACGCCCACCCCCGCCGGCATGCGCGCGCTCGCTCGCACTCGCGCATGGGTGCCGGTCCAAAGGTGTGGCCCCCACTACAACGGGAGCTTCTTCAGCTGCTCGTAGGTGATGAAGAACTGAGAATCAGATTAAGGAGAAAGGCAAGAAGATTGAGGAGGTGAGGCGCGGCCCAGATACACCCGGCTGAAACGCACCTGCGGTCCCAAAACAGTGTGGTCATGAACCCGAAAGTGTTCTCGCATCTCAGGGAAAAGGATACGATGATATTCCAGGGCCCCAGGCGAAGCCAGTTGGGCCAGAAGCCCTTGTAGAGGGCGAAGAAGCCCTCGTTCTTCCAGGTCTGCATGACGCCGTCCAGCGTGCCCTTGTACAGCGGGTTCCCCGAAAGCACGCGCTGGTTCATCATGCGGGTCCGCACCACGTCCACAGGGTTGGAGGCCAGTGCCCCCGCCAGGCCACAGGTGAAGCTGGATCTGCAGACCGGTGACCCATGATGACAACAAGTCCCACAATGCACTGCTCTACATGTCTCTCTCAGGTACCATGGGTGAATCTCAATATGCATACTTGACCATACTTGTGTTCTCGTGGACCCGTTTTACGTTGTCTTCCATTGCCGAAGACCAGGTCCAATACTAAGAACACAAGTGCAGAGGACGGTAAAAATCCTCAGATGCTGGTCTTGCTCCTCCCCAGATATCAAGGATACATTGGTCAGTTCCTTGTCGAACGAGACCAATGCCATAATTCACTGCGGCCCAATTTCTTTCTCGGAAGGTAAGTTAGGAAGACCGGTCTTGCCAAGACCACAAGTACGATCTTTGCTTTCTTGGTATTGAGATTCACCTCATATCTGGTACCACACATTTGGGAATCACGGCCAAGTTATCAACTATTTTTATACAATTTTATACATTTACCAAAAAAACTGCAGTCTAAAAATAAGCATCACACACTTTCCATATGAAGACCGAGACTGTGGGACTTAGACTCACATGAAGTGGGTGTAGACAGTGTCTCCCATCAAGCCCGAGAGAATCAGGTGCTTCTTGGTGATGTCATAGACAGGAAGTTCCACCCCGACCACAATGGCAGCCCTCTGTGCTGTGGGAATAACCCCCTGTGCGACAGGAAGGGGGGACTTTTTAAGAGGGAGCACCACTCAGCACTATAAACCTCCTTAAACTTAATATCCTTAAGTTTAAAGGAAGTGCTACTCATGCTGTTTACACAGGAAATCATTTAACATCCTCCGTGCCAAAATCTGCTGAATATTTACACTGAGCGTTCTTCTCTGGTACCATGGGGGCAACTGGTCCAATGAGAAGCTCCAGCTGTGTGAAAATGTAAGAAAAGACACTCTGAATACGAGTGTCAGCTTAATAAACCACTAGGCTTTATTAGCTTCATAAAGTTAATCAGTCTAATTCGCTCCACAAAAAAAAAAGAAGACATATCAGTCAGTCGGTACTTTCGTCCACCCCCCAAGGGATTTTTCAACACGTCCTCATTAAAAAACGGTTCCATGAGAGCAAAGCTTACTAGCCGAAATAGAAAGTGAATCGTGAATGTGAGAGTTTGCACAGAATCACAGAACAAAGGATTCGGGAAGCAGCTTGCTGACTAACACACAGAACAACTAAAAAGCAAAATGAAGGCAGTGAATGTGTAAAGAATGAAAATGTCCAAACATTCATTAAAAGAGGGAAAAAAAAGAGAAACTCCAAAATATCAAGACATAAATCAACCTAATTCAAGGCGAAGATGCCATTTTATAGTCAGGCGTGCAGAGATTATCCGAAAATGTACATTTCAGGCTTTGGCAGTTATTTTCAATAATAATTAATTAGAATGGTTTATAAACAGGGATGGGCATAACTGGTACACAAGTATCACCTTTAAATACGATACATGCGGCATTCGATTGTGGTAACAGTGTAAATACGTACTCATTTTATATGCATTTGCGCTGATATGAAAACAACATATAATGCATTTTAATCTTTATATGCTAACTCTACTTCATTTGCGGTATGCAAGTTAAAATGCAAGGTATGTTCTTGTCATAGCAGCGCAAATGCACATAAGCACGCATTTGCAAACAACCGATTGTTGCACATATCGTTTATCGTTTTTAAAGGCGAATGCGTACTTGTGTACCAGTTATGTCCATCCCTGTTTATAAACAGCAGGGAGCGCCCCCTAGTGACAGCCTGGGTGGGTAACGCCACCTTCTCAGCTCCAATGGTCTCCTCAGATGATGGTTTTTTCTCTTCCTCTAGGCGGCGACACTGCACCGAATTTAAAAACCAAGCATCTTCTATTCAGGGTTTCCTGTTTTTATTTACGTCTCCAACGTCAGGCTTGAGGTCTGAGGCACCCACCTTGAATTCATGACCTTTCAGAGCTGATGCAAGATTATCTTCAGGCGTTATCAATTTCTGACGGGACGTTCTGTACCAACGTTTACCAACATGCAATAAACTCCTTGTATCATTCATTCCTTAAACACCCAGTAGGGGGCACTCTTTGTCCAGCCGCGACTGGAACATTGGCATGGGGCACAGAGACAAAATTCTGCCAGAAGAGACAAGAGCAACCAAACAGAAACTGGACTTTACGTCATTCGGTTGTAGGGACGGTCTGAAGGACGAAACAGAACTTGCGGAGAAATGGTGGAACTTGTGGGAGAGGCTCCTGAACTGACATGGAGAGGGATCAGGAGACAGAGACACACACACACTCACCCGCCAGAGCCCCCGAGTTCCCTCCGTCTGGTAGATATTGATGAAATTGGCCATCATGCTGCCCTGCAGGAGGCTGCCTTGTGCCTGCATCCGGATCTGGGAGGAGGGGAAGGAGGCAGGGGAGCCCGCATGGGTCAGCGTCAGACCTGGGCACCGGAGCTCGGCGTGCCGGCGTTCTGGGTACCTCAGACCCGCGGGGAGGGGGCGCCTACCTTTAGCACGTCGGTGGGATTGGCCAGCGTGGACGACAGCACGCCGGACACGACGCCGCAGAACACGTTGATGACCATGGTCTCATCTGGAAGCGGCAAAGACAGAGGAGGCGGTGATGGAGACGCGGAAAACGAGGACGGGAGCAGTAACGGGAGCTCCGGAGTCGTTTAGGGATAAAAGCTGAACTATCCGATACGTCACGGCCGCCTGGTCTCCTGGCAGCACTGCGAGAGGTCCTGGGCTTTCAGCACGAGACGCCCCTTTAAATGATCGCTAACCCGTGTGGGGACGAAAAAAAAGAAAGAAAAAAAAAAAGTGATTGGAGGATCAATGGTGTTGAGGCAGGTGTTACACAAGAGGAGAACAAAACAAACCATAAGAGAATTATCTCCAAGATCCGAACCCTAAGCCATCCACACGCTGCTCACTAGGTCAGCTGAACCAGCTCTAAATCTGCCAACCAAACCTAAAAAAAGTGCCAACATTAAGAAAAACACGTGGACATCCTAAGACCAGCTCTTGACGGTCAGAGTTCAGACCAAACATAATCCTCATCAGGACCACACAAATTACATTGCAACAAGTCCCCAAATAGCCCCGCCCCCTCCCCCATTCTGAATGCCAGTGTCAGAATGTCCCCGTGGCTGTTCCCCGACCTCCGCACAGAAAGATCACGATCTCTCCTACGTCCGGACATCTGTCACCAGCCGACGTGGGTCCGGTTGCCAGTCAGACCTTGGCAGGCACAAGAACGGTGGCCGACCCCTGACCCTAGGGCCGTGCGCTCCGGACACATCCAGTTCGAGGCAGCACGCACCCCGTACAGTAAGAGCACCGTCTCCACCATTACGTGGACCTACAAAAGTAACATCTATCAACAGCAAGACAACAAGACTGCACCAGTTACCAGTAGACAAGACCCAGATCAGAACACCCAGGTCAACAGGCCCACTGACTCACTGCATCTACGCTTACAGCAAACAAATATTGGGAATCTGCAATATTTTCTCCAACTAAACAAAAACAAAACAGTGGTGACACTTTGTGGAAGCGAAACGGAAATGATTAAAGTTGGCGCCTACCTCAAATCTAAAGCCCTCAAGGCCAGAAATATTGACGTCCCAACAAATGCGGATCTCAGTCACAACAACCACCACAAAACTGAAAACATGTCAAATCAGGCACGACCTAGAAATACTTCACTATGGCTTCAGTTCCAGTACGTCAGACTGTTGAAACACTCCACGCTTTCATAGAAGACCATTGCAGCTGCAACTCATTCAAAATGCTGCGTCCCAAAATATCAACCCAGAAAACTGCACGCAATCTCCCCAATGCTCAGGCCCTTAAGCTGCCGTCCACTTCGTTACAGCATTAATTTCAAAGTGTCACTTCTTGTGTACAAATTGTTCGGTGGCTTTAGGCCTGAAATACATCTCAGTCATGCTGCTAGAACATAAACCTGCTCGGTCTCAGCGATCTCTGGCGACTGATCAGCTAGTGACGGCCAGAGTTCGAACCAAACATGGTGGCCTGGCTTCCAGCCACTGCGCTTCCCACAGATGGACCCAGAAGATCTTAGATGTGCCCCAACAGCAGACACATTTAAATCTAGATTAAAAATAATTTCGATTCACCCACGCCCTTTTTTAAACTATATTTTCACTGTATTTCAACAATATTATCTGTTATGTCTTGTACTTCCTGATATTTTTTATTATATTTTCTGAATTATTTTGCTTTTTTCCCTTGTTTTTCCTTCTTTCTCTCTGTAAAACACCATGAACAGCCTCTGTTTGCAATGCGTTATATAAATAAACTGGCCTGTGATGGAAAGTGCGTCTCACCTTATTTAGCAATTAAAGACTGTCACCCGAGCCCAGACCCCCCCACTGGCCAATTTGCCTGTGCGCTGTTGGGTTTCCTTCCTTCATTTATTTCCTCTTAAACTATCTTATATATCTTCACAACGGGGGGGCCCTTGCATCACACTGACAACCAAGGGGGGGGGGGGGGGGACGACACACGTCGGGTGAGCTGGCAGACATGCAGGAGCAACTGCGTTGCTGTCCCCACACACCCCCCGCCCCCCGACCCTACAGAACCTGTCCACACAGGGCCGATTTTACTGTCCTGGGCAGAGAGTCGAGAACATGACACATTCAACTGGTATGAGAGTGACAGGCACGTGGGGGGGGGCGAGGCGGGGGGGGCGCAAAGCCACCCATTAGCATCAAAAGTAAACAACAAACAAATCTGTTATTACACTATTACAGAGCAGACTGTGTTACTAGGACACATTTCAAATGATCATGCATCCAAGCTGCTTTCTCACTCTGCCAATCTTTCACTGGTCCCTGTTTTTATAGCAAAATACTCCAGCCATTACAGTCAGAGGAGTCTATTCTGGTACCTTACAAAATACACTGTACAGGACAATACCAGCGTAATAAAAAAGCAAAATGCATTGAGACATACCTTCCGGCTGGCTCACGAACAACTTTTTCAGAGTGTTATACGTCCCAATCTTTATGGTTCCGTACGATGCCTGGCGCAGCAGAGCAGGAGAGATCCTTTTGGGGGAAACAACATCAGCGGGGTTAACACTCGAGCTGCTGGATGCCGTTTAAACATACTGGGAATGACTTCTTTTCCTGCCCCCCCCCCCCTGGTTCCAAAGCCGTTTGCCTGCACCGACGTCTGCTCTCACCCGGAGTACAGGGCTCGAATCCCTTCCTCACGCCCAATCCTCAGCAGTGCGTGGAACATGCCCCTGTAGCGGATCTCGGCACAGTGGGACTGGCCCTGAACCTGCAGCCTGGTCTTCGTAAGGTCAATGGGAAAGGTACCTGCCACATGCCATTAAATGGATAAACATCAATGAAATGTTATTCTAACCAAGTCACCGTGTTTACAGAGAAGGTATAACGGTGATCGTTTTACAATACGGGAGGTTTAGGACACGGCAGGTTTGATGCACTGGGTTCGGTATAACATCTATTCAGTGCGGATATTGAATAATTATTACCACTGAATTCAGTTTTGCCATTTTTAATTTTACAAATGCATATTCAATATACGATCACACCGCATTCAGTCTTTTAAGTTAAATGCAGGCTGCTCGTTCATTTTAATCACATTACATCCTCGCGCTTACCAAACTCGGCGACAATCGAGGCCATCCCCCCATAGATGAACGGTTTCCAGTTCATATTTGCCATTTCTGTGCTTGCACCCTCAGTCTGATGGAGACCGGCTAAAAACAGCAACAAGCCACCGGAATACAAATAAATGAACAGTTTTAAGCGCACGAAAATTGACATGGCGATCTTCACATTAACGTTACAGATTTCTGACCTCATCTGGTGCATAGCAAAACTCTGCACCGGAATGAAATCGGTGCATTAAAAATTAATGCCAGCGCCAGCGGAAAACGTCAGCGGACGATTGGACGGTGGTCAAGTCAATCAAGATTTGCCGAGCTGCTATTGGCCCGAATTTACCCGAAGACCGGCCCACTTCCTTAAAGCAGCCGGCAAATGTGAGCTCATTCGGCGCCGCCTCCTCCTCCTTTGGGGACGTCGATAGCTAACTAACGGTTATTTACAGTAGTTACAGTTGGTTATAAGTCCAAACATTTCGCCACATGTTCTCAAGAAAAAAGTTTTGACTCGGAAATTGTTTTGCTACACTGTGCATTCAAATAATGACGCACCTATTTGATTAACTTGAAAACACTGACTTTAAACACTATCCACCTCCCCAGGGCAGCTAAACTCACATGCTACGATGCATTTCTTTTTATAAAAAAGGGAAAATGCGAGCTTTCGTGAGTCGACGGCGAAATGAAGCTTTCGGATGTCGCCTACCTGTGCCGTGGCTTGAGGATGGACTTGGTTATTTCACTATACAGCCCATGACACCGGCCGGGCGCTGAGACACGGAGAGCGCGCAGAAAAGTTCGCCTGCTAGCCGTCCATGTCACATGCGGAGAGACAGGAACTGGGGGGACCGGAAACCCAAGGGTACACCGGGGCGTGGTGTCCCGGCCGGCTGGCGTCTCGGCCCTAAAAGCCAGAAAGGCTCCCTTCGAACATGTTTGTATTATACCTTTTGATTCAAATAATAGGTTAGTAATACAACTGGGTCGATGCTGCAGCTATAGGGCCACTTTAATTAGTTACTCATAGAAACGATGTTTCAATCCGTGTTGTTACTTTAAAAAAAAAAAAAACAGGTGGTTTCCATATTGAATGGTATTAGTAGCGTTGTGTTCTTTTGGTCTAACTCCTATAACCATCCATTCCGTAAACTTCCACCTTTCAAAATCTTTTAAAGCTTATATATAGTGGTGTCTGGGATATTCGTTTTGTTTTACCACATAGTTATGCCAGAGTTAACTGATCTAAAATTAAGTCATTCTACTTCTTTACTTATTGTTTAAGCTATATATTCCGTTTTCCGGCACCGTAGATGTTCGGTAGGGTGAACTAATATTTTTCGAACGAGAAAAAGTACAAATTAGTTTTCTGTTAATTATTTTCACAAGAGCATAAATGTAGCCACAGGCTTGTAGAAGAAATCCTACTCGTTTGTTTTCGGTGCGTTCTTTGTCAAATGGATTCCTGCAGATACATGCGTTTGCATAAATTAAAAACTATATAAAATGTCTACCACTCCCCGGCTCTATGGTAATTACAGCAAAGTCATGTGGTGTCGCATCTTTCTGACGGCATCATCCCGACGTCAACAAAATGCGTCAATTTGTTACACGGTCACGTGACGTATGCTGTCTGAAAATAATGACGCGTGAAGGAGGACTGGAGGACGGTGTGACTGGTTACAATGGTTTTCATGGAAAAGGTTATATACAAAGTCAACGTCATGTTATAGAAGTGGTTTTATGTTATTGACCCACCGCTTCGTGTTGCATTCCCAGAAACATCTTCAGAGCAGAGTATAATAGGTTAAAGCGCCTTAAATTTAGATTAAGGCAATTACAGTAATTAGGATTTGGTAACACGGCGACAATATTTAAGTTTTCTTGTCTGTTCTTCCATGGTATGATATGCAAAGCTGTTCTGTGTTTCGTTCGCCAGAAAGTGAAGCACGTCTCATTTTCCCACGAATAGTTGTAATTTAACAATAAAACGTAAATGTCTGTACGTACAAATAAATATATTTCATCTCATGGTGACACACTGGAATTTACGGGGAAAGCTAATTGCACGGGATGGTTTTCGTCGTTCTTGAACTAATGACACTGATGAACTGAAATAACCAACCAACAGTGAATTAATCGTCAAATTTAATTTCTCTGGTTACACCGTGGTCATGAGCTCCGCTTGACGAACATGCAATTACTGGACATCTTTTTAATGTGGAAATGTAGCTGGAAAAAAATCCAACCCGTGTAGTTATCCCAAGATCCCAAGACGCTATTAGTGTAATGCATGTGTTAAAAAGCTAAAATTCATCTTTTGTTTCTTGACAGTTACACCGCATGCTGTCAGAACCATATGCTTTGAAACCACTCTCCTACCTGTGCAGACCAGTGTATTCAAGCTTCTAGAGATTGCACGTTTGCAGTTGAAGTAACAAAAAAAAACTGAATTTCACCTGGCTGGTCTCTGAGCGGACTGGACTCCTCACTCTGCCTCTAGCCTGAATAGGCTTTTTAAATACAGGCATAGTTATATGAACTTATCGCGGTTACACAGTTTGTCCAAGAGAGGGCAATAAGGAGCCGCAGTTGACGTTCTCGAAGCAAAATAAACTGAAATGGAATTTTCTCATCCCATGAAAGATTATTAATCCTCTCGATACAAAAGCAGTCCAGAGGTCTTTACAGGGTCGTGCGCAGCAGTCTCTGGGTACGTTGGTAAAGCTCCTGGGCAAGATTCATCAAATTCCTGCAATACATTTATATTAACAAATCAAGCTGTAAACATCCTTACCTAAATCACCATACACACACATACACACACATACACACACACCCATATCACCAGAAATCCGTACATTAATAATGGAATCATGCATAATATATTTCTTAAGAACATCCTATTCAATTTTCTGTTTTTTTCTAGTTTTAGACTTAACCTTCTATTCTGTTTATTTTAATAATAATAGTTTTGGAATAGAGCCACAGGGGTCATGCTGGGTCGAGAGTGACCTTTCAGGCCTGATCAAGACTACAGACGCATTCACAAAACCATGTGTTGAAGGACTTGCCGGAAATTTCCATTCATCACCACCCCCACCACCTCCCCCCATCCCTGCCTCCAGAACATTATACATGCATAACTACCCATGCGAACTCTTAACCACACTGGTGCCTCAATCCACAGTGTTGCTAGGTTTGTTTTACAGAGGCTTTACTCCCTCAGCCTCCCCCCCTAAAAATGTACACTAATTAGTTTAAATAGTGTGTTCTTATTCATTTTCGTTAAAATCAGAACCCCCAACCCAGTTAAGGGTTGCCCCCCCCCCCCTTTTCATAAATCTCTAGTAATATTCTTGGCTTCAAAGACACAAAGAAAGCTTGATATGGTCAGATCTTGACTGATGCCAAGTCAGACCCTGAACACAAACTCACCGGGCACCATGGGAAGCGCAGGTTTTGCGGTCGGGAGTCAGGCAGAAAAGGGAGGCCACGCAGTAAACACAGCACAAGATTACGGACAGCAGTCTTCTCCTTAAGGACATCCTCGGGCCACCGTCCCCAGGAATCAGCAGCTGTCAATCAGGAAAGAAACCAAATAGTACTGAACTGGATCTCTATCTCGAAAAGCATCCAGCACTGAGGTCCTCCTCACCCTGCTAGGGGGTTCCAGTGGGAAGCGATGTACAGGCATGCAGCGAGTCAGGCTGTGAGGCGGAGGGGTGAGGGGGTGTCTCTTGTGGCGAGGTCCGAACCCAATTACTGCTGACCTGGTTCTGCTGTGAATGGCGCTGAAAGATCTAGTGGGACGGAATAACGGGTCAGTATTGTGCGCAGGGGCAGGATTGTTGTTTCTGGGTCCCCACTCAAAAAGTCATTTTGGGGCCCTCCCTAGTGTAGTGACAATCTGTGGCCAACAGGGGGCCCCACACAAATTTGTGATTTGAGTGCTGATAAATACCTCCACTATTGTGCGCTGGAAGCTGTACAACTGATCGTTCACGTCATTGTGAACAAGATCCTTCCTCTGAGATGAAGGTCTCTGTGACAATGATCAGATTTTACCGGCACTTAAACCTGCCAGTTTTACCACCCTCCCTGGCTGACAGCTGCATATTTTTCATATCAGTTGGTCAGAGTTTAATTAGGGTCAGCCTGGGATCCACATTTTTGCAATATTTATGTCATGTGCCAAAGTGTAAAGTGGCTTTGTGCCAACTGCTACAATGTTTCCAGAAACACTGAGTGTAGCCTTCTGGGAAATGTTAAGATAGCCACGTCCCAAGTCCATTTTCTTGTTCTTTGGTTCCTGCTAGTGGCAATACTGTCTCTTTTTATCCTGAGTGCCGAAAGCCTGTTTCCCTTCATTTGAGGGTTTGGGACTCGGTTAATGTTATAGTGTTTGTTTTTGCCTTAAGTGGACAATGAAGACGCGCGCAAACAGGTCTGTCTGGCCGTCCTTGATCTTGAATAATTGACACCGGCTGCTGGTGACAGAGGCGGGCTCAGCAGGCAAATGAAGGCACGAAACTGGAGGTTAAAAACATTACCTAAAGATAGCATCCGGTGACCAGGGACTGGGAGAGAGCTTGGTCCACGTGCCACTTGTCAAACACGACTTGCCATCAATGACCACTGCTTAGTTAAGTGCCTTGGAGCATTTTAAACTATATAAATTAAACTGGAAATATTAAAAAGGTCTATAAGCAATTCAAGGATCTGGCAGGGAATTTATTCAGGGAGGGTTCTTGAGAGAGGAGATGGCGTGAGTGTGGAGAAGGGGGATTCCTTCTTTCTACGATTTCATTTTTCTTCACGGATCTGCCTGTTTTGTACAGTTGGCTTAAGCAAACAGAACGGAAGAGACATCACACGCAGCGATCCCACAGGACACAGCGCTGCAGATTCACCCCTACTGCACTCATCCGAACATCTGGATACAGCTTCGGCCGATGAGGAAGGGGAGCTACACCAAGAGCAGACGGCGAAGACCTTGTCGATCATAAGCAGCTTTTTTAAATGCCTGTTTGCTTCTTTACATGCATTTTTTCCCTCTCAATTCATCGGCCAGTTTGACTTTTAACCTCAGGGACCCTGCTGCACATCTGGAATGTCTGTGCCGAGAGATTATCTGATGGGAATCGTGCTACTGTAAGGCTACGTGCCGAACAAGGGTCAAATGTGGAGAAGACACAGCTGCGAGAAAGCTGACACTGAAAGACAAGCAGGAGGGACAATCCCCGACACGGATTTCCCTCCCAGGAGCCAATATATACCAGCATAACCGGGACACTGGTAGAGCACGTCGACACTTTGAGAAAACACCTATCCTTAATGTCGTGATATCACAAGATTTTCACTGTGTATATCTGCTAAAATGTGCCCATATGCTCACAGCAACATACTACCTAATAGCATGCTGCCTATTTTAAAAGTATATGTGTTTGCTCAGATCTAATAAATGTCTGGTCCTTAGATTTGCTCTGGCATTTTCCAACAGTTGCGTGATGGTGTGAGGACAGAGACGCACTGTGCGATCGGGAGATGGTAGAATAGGGTTCCCCTCGACCCAAGACTTTCTTAGAGGGAACTGCCGATCTGAATGGCAGTTTAGCATGAGACACCCTGTGTAGGACCGCTAGCCCGCTAAACGTCCTGCCAATGTACACGCCTGGACATGGAGCTGGAGATTCTAGGCTGGATACTGGGCGTGAGCTCTGTGCTGATCATCAGCACCAACGTCTTGGTGGCCGCCTCCCTGGTCCTGCTCATCCGCAAGAAGGGCGGCCAGAGCTGGTGTTTCGTACTTAACTTGGCTCTAGCTGACACCCTCGTGGGCGTCGCCATCATCGGCATCTCCGTCATCGCCATCAACTCTGAAACCTCACCCATCCACCGCACCAAGTGCCTGATGTTCATGGCCCTGGTCACCTCGCCGTCAGCGGCCTCCATCCTCACCATGTTCCTCGTCTCCTTGGACCGCTACATCGCCATAAAGCTTCCCCTGCGCTACTCGCGCATCTCGAGGACACGGACGACGGCCGTTGCCCTGGTGACGCTCTGGGCGCTCTCCTTCGTGGTGGGCTTCCTGCCGGGGATGGTGACAGAGATGCAGGTGGAAGAATACAACGGCACCTGCACGTTCTTCTCTGTCATCCAGCCCAAGAGCATCATCCTGGTCTTCTGCATTTGCTTCTTCCCCGTCCTCTTGATCTTCATCTACTTCTATCTGGACATCCTGAAGATCGCCTGCGGCCACCAACGGCAGATCCGTATCGCCAGGCTAGCCGGGTCCCAAGTACCACTACCGAGCCGGTTCGGCCGTCACGTCAAGGCCCTGAGGACGGTGGCCCTCCTGGTTGGCTGCTTCACCCTCTCCTGGTGCCCGTTTTTCATCGTCAGTGTGGTGCAGGTGCTATGCCAAGCCTGTATGCTGTACTCTGTTATCGAGACTTACCTTTGGTTGCTTGGGCTGTCAAACTCGCTCATCAACCCACTGGTTTATGCCTTCTGGCAGAGGGAGGTGCGACAGGAGCTCAGTGCCATTTTTACCAGCCTCAAGGGCAGACTTTCACGTGTAGCGCCCCTCACCACCTTTAGGGGTCGCCATTCTGAGGACACAGTACTTCCTGGAACAACAGTCCTGGGTAATTGTCACATACAGACCATATCGCGGGGCGTGGGAGTGGCTCACCCCACTACTGCACTGGCTATAGTCACAACCTCCTTTTGAGCGGAAAAAATAGAAATCTCATGGCAGACATTTTTTAGATATTTGAATTATCGCGCAAAGATGTTTTTATTTTTTTGGAATGGCAAACGTTTTTTTTCCCGTTCAATGGGCCATATGGTTCTGTTTGTTCTTTTTTGCTTCATTTCCCCCCTCTACCTGTGCACTTCTCCGCGCTCCACTCCACACGCCATATCTGCGGAAATAAAAGAACCGAATCTAAATATAGAACGTTATCCGAACAACAAGCTTCATGAGTGTTAATTAAAAAAAATATTATTTAAACGGTTGTTTTATTTTAAATGTTATTCATTTTGCCGAAAGATGTAACTGAGAATCATGATGTATTAACAAATTACTGTATTTTCTGCAATTTTTTTACCCAACAAATCTTTATGAAGAAATGATTTTTTTAAATACAATTTGACGAGCTAATCGAAAGAATTGCATTAGTCTCATAATTTGAGCTTTTGTCCACGTGCCTTCACCCAAACAGTTGGTACAATATAACGACATTTCCCTGATTCTGGTCTTGATTTCTCCACATTGTTGGGTCTATCTCCATATAGACAAGCATTTGATATTTCTGCCATTATGTACAAGCTATATTGTAAATCATCGGCATATCGACGGAGTTACTGAACACGTTTAATTGAATTTTCAGATTTGTGCAACGATCGTCATTTGTCCTGAAATACTCCACAGGGAATGAAATGTGATATTTTGTTTTGGCAGCTCTCCAATACAGTAACAAGTTAGAAAATTATTTTAAGATTATAAAAACAACAATGTTGCTAAAGGGCAAATCTGAAACGAAATGTTATAGATGATGAATCATATAACTTCTGTGTATATAGCCTATTTAGTTTTTATGTTTGAATTAAACAGAATGATGTTGGTGGTTGTCCCTATAGAACAATATTGTATACAGGATACTTTTGCAGTCAAAGCATCTAATTTACAGATAGCTACTGAATTTAATGACGGATTTAACGTGTACAGGTACTCTATTTTACAGCAAATAATTAAACAGGAGAATCACATAAGCAAAGGACCGGAGATTATGCTATAAAACCAGGAGAGTGGAAGAGCAAAGAGAGATATCAGAAATCAACATCAAAAAATAAATAAAATAAATAAATTAAGTGCCTTTTATCCGGATTGGGGAAATGCTGACAAGCTGGTGTCTATCTTTAAAGTTAACACTGCTTCTCATTTATTTACCTTTAATGCTTTTGTTATGCTACACCATAATCTCCCATCTATCCATTCTAAATGATCGTTCATCAAATTCACGTTGATGAAAAATCTTCTTGAACTCACAGGTCGAAGGCTACTACACCCTATAGGCGGGATGGTAGTTAAATATTTTTTAAGTTGTACGTAGGTGATTTACAGTCACTAATGAATCTGGCTTTGAGAGTGGAAAGAATCAAGTTCACTGTGCGGATTGCCATTCATACAGAAGAAGATTTAAAACATAATGAAATGACCGAGTAAAAAGTGAGATTAAAAATCTTTTCATCAACGTTTCGGTTGTGATTTCTCCAGCTTCTTTTTTAGCGGTAAATTCGACTCAGTTGCTTTATAGGCCTATAGGCCTATATGGGGTAGGCAATATTTATACTAAGCATACAAAGTACACAGAGTAAAAGTCCAACGGCGTTTTATATTTGGAGGACATAATAATGAAAAATATATATTTTAAATTCAAAAGTCTATTTATTGGAAAATTAATTGATTAAATATTGGGGGGTACAAGCAGGGGCGCCGCCAGAAATCTTGGGCCCCATGAAAGATTACAATTTTGCCCCCCCCTTTTTGCGAAAAGGTAAAGCCCCTAACAGGGCCCCATGTCAGTGCTGGGCCCCTAGAATTGTTCTAACCTTTCCCCCCCTGGCGGCGCCCCTGGGTACAAGTCTCCTTGTCGCCTCTGGTTCCTAAGCCAGTGTCGATATCACCAGTTTACAATGTGCCATCGCTTTTACATAACTGGCAAGATAACAGCATAATTTGCAATTCTCATACAAAGAAGGAATTGAGATATACGTATACGACACAATGTATTTTCATGCGTAAGATGTGAAAATGCCCTTATGTAGGACTTTTATTTTGAAGCTGGCGCCCCGTGGGTCACCGGAAGTGGAAGTTTATGCGGCTAATGCTACCGGTGTCGCTGAGCTGCATGTTTACCAACGAAATCTTTGATTTCTTTTCAAAATGAAGTGAGTACTTTTCAACTTAATTATATCTGTAGTTGATATAATTTATTGAAAAACGACTTTGGGTGAATTTTCCAGTAATATCGGTTTGGTCTTTAGGTTGGCGATATAGTGACAATTGGTTTTCCGGTCAGTCGTGGTTGGGATCCTTCATTTGATTGTTTTTCACTGCCTTCTTAGCGATTAGATACGTATAAATTAATAACTGAACCTCAACATAGGCTGTTGATATCTACAGAGATTGTGACTGCACTCTGTGTATAGAGGACCCACATACGTAGCTGACTTGCTTAATACTATTTACAGACCAACAGCTTACTGTATTAGGAAATTCTATTTAACCAAAACCAGATTGGTTATGTGGCTGTAGATGTTAATTAATATACCGGGTCGCTAATTTCTGGTCCGAAAAACACCGTATAACGTTTCTGCATTGCATGCATCTCGCTAACAGCAAAACTGGTGGGCAGATTATTGCTATGTGTGAGGCACACTACGCTACGGCCACCTATAACCGGGTACAGGAAGGGTTGGAGTTTAGTTATGCGGCAAAAATGACAAGTGGCCTAGATAACGGGTATCTGGATGGAGGAAAGCCTCCTAACGCAGGGAGAAACGCGCAGTTGGGGGCCTGAAAGAGTCCAGCATCCCCGGGGGTGTTCGGTCACAGCTCCACCCTCCACGTTATCATTCGGTTCACGCGCTGGCGAATAGTTAACAGTAACCGTGGCTGCTGCAGTATATGTTTTCTTAAATGACTGTCCATCGTGGTCCCCCTCCCCTTCAGTCCCCTAACCAAGGTCAAGCTGATCAATGAGCTGAATCAGCGGGAGGCGGAGTTCGGCGTGAAGGACTCCGTGTCTTGGCATTCTGCCTACAAGGACAGTGCCTGGATATTCATAGGTAAAGAAAGACTCCACGCCACAGACTGTCCGGGATGTTTAACTGGGGCTAGAGCCATGCTAATATTGGGGCATTTCCATTTAGAGCAGTATATGTTATTTGCTCTTAGTTATATGTTATATTGTATATCTATGCAGAACCTTGCTACAGTAGCTGTGTAACCTTACAGTGTATCTTGTGCAATTTCCCTTGAACCCTTACTGGTTTTGTTTTGCTTTCTCTTTTGTTTTGGGAGGTATGCTGAATAAAAATAAATATAATTTAATTCAGCTGAATGGCTGTGGGATGTAAATGCAACATCCCATAGTTCCAGTGTAACATCTGTTGACCCCAGTTAACATTTAAATTGTAGTGTACCTTTTATACAGATTTTCTGCAAATTGTCCTTCAGTGCAGGGGTTCTCAACCGAGCCCCATTCTCATCACCAGTAATCCCTTCACCACCAGATTAACCAGTCCGTGAAAATTGTTTAACTCCACATACCAGTCTGTGGACCCTATTTCAGTGTCCTTTCATCAAACGAAAATCTTGCAGCATTTTTAGTTTATGCTAAAATGTAGAGATGCTCCGATCAGCATTTTTGGGGCCGATCACCGATTACCGATCACCAAGATCATGATCTGCCGATTGCCGATCACAGAATGGCAGGGGAATGGGGGAATCTTATCTATAATCTAGCAGAGTTTGCACCATTTGTAGAAATGAAACTAACTCTAAATTAACTATATTGAAGAGAAAAAAAACTGTAGAAATAGGCTACAGTGAAGATCTTGAAGAATCAAGCGCTTGACACTTGGCGCCCCACACTGAAGGAGGGGCAGTGACACTTTGGTCAGCACTGTTGCCTGACACCTCCAGGGTCAACACATGAAATGTTCCCCGAGAGCAGAGTGGTTTAGTTTCTCATACTCGGCATATTCAGTTGTATGGCGTGTTCTAAGATGCCTAATCATGTTAGTGGTGTTAAAATGCCGTTGCTTGCTTCCACCTCGAGGGATTTCATCACGACATACATTGCAAACGGCTAACTTTACGTCTTTATCGGACACTTTGGAAAAACTTCCAGAGGGGAGAACTCATGTTGCCACTAGTAAGCTCCGCTCTGCTGTTGTTTACCTGTGCGCCGTGCATGCACGTGTGGAAAAAGTCGCAAGTAATTTACGTCAAGTGATCGGCTTTCTTGATCGGCGCTTTTGGGGTTCGCCGATCAAGCTATTTTTATCAATCGGAGCATCACTACTAAAATGTATCTTTGAGGGACACGTTATAAGATTTTGATCCACTAAAGTATTCTTATTGATGGAGTTTGAATCTTGGGTTGTAAACAGATGCGTTGGCAATACATATTCAGATATAGGCCTGAATCCCGCAGTAGTGACTGGTTCTGCTTTGCGTTGCAGGTGGCTTTCCGTACGAGTTGACGGAGGGTGACCTCATTTGCGTTTTCTCCCAGTGCGTAACTCGCATCACTCATATTTGCTCCACCCATCTCCTGGAAGAACAACAAACACTAATTCCCATCCACCTTGCTCGTGGCAGGTATGGAGAAATCGCTAATATTAACCTGGTGCGAGATAAGAAGACAGGAAAATCGAAGGGCTTCTGCTTCATCTGCTATGAGGATCAGAGGAGCACTATTCTGGCTGTGGATAACTTCAATGGGATTAAGGTAAAGCCAATCAGAGCCTCAGTTTTCTCACAGGATTAAGTTGGAGCCAATCAAAGGCTTCCTTTTCTCAAAGGATTAAGATGGAGCCAATCAAAGTCTTGCTTTTTGAAACAGATTGAGAGTCAGCACATGGCATGAAACTATCATTTTCAATTCAAATTTTTATTATGCAAAGGGTGAATTGAATCACTAACTTCTGTCATTTTCTGTCCCTTCTGGAGTCCCATGGTCTCCATTCACTTAGTGTGGTTATTAAGTGTGAAATAGATCTCCAGATGACCACCACTCTATGAAACAAAAATGCACAAAAAATATTCACCCAGTGGTGGAAGGATTTAGGATGATTTAATAGGATTAATCTTTCGAGTTGACCCTGCCAGTCACAGTGTGACCATTTCATTTTACTTGACTGGAAGAAAAAAAAAAATCTTCAGGTTGGGGGTGTGGACCATTTTATAAAGCAATCTTGGATATGATGCTGGTGACCACTTGCAGAATTCAGAGCCACCATCTTTGCTCGGTGCTTTAGAGATTTCGTATATATTTAATTTGTTACATTTTGTTATTGAAAACTTGCCAACTTGATCTGAATTTGCCCTGCGTCACTGCTGCTTCTCTTTGATCTGATCCCCCCCCCCCCCCAGATCAAGGGCCGCACCATCCGCGTCGATCACGTGCTGAATTACCGTCCGCCAAAGGACACGGACGATATTGACGATGTGACCAAGCGGCTGAGGGAAGAGGGATGCGCGCCCACATTGCCGCCCTCTTCCTCGGAGCCCGAAGAGGAGGAATATGCAGTGGTGGTGAAGAAAGGGAAGAAAGGTGAGGTGCAGCCCATCAGAAATGGGGGGGGGGGTATTTTGGCCTCCGCCTTCTGTACCTTCAAGTCAGCGCTAGCTGAGGTTGTTCTTGGAGGGTTCTGGGGTTACATATGTCACTTGTCCTGACATTGCAGATAAGAAAGAGAAGAAGAAAAAGAAAGAGAAAAAAGAGAAGAAGAAGGCAAAGGAAGAAAAGAGGGAGGAACAGGCACCGCCATCGCCGGTCAGGGTGAAGCAGGAGAGACCAGATGTTGGCTATGAGAAATACGCCCAGCAGAGGGCACCAGAGGACAGACTGCCGAGGGACGGGAGACACGAGGAGAGGATGTACAGGGACCGGCAGGATGACGGCCGAGTGAGGGAGCGGGAACGGGAGAGAGAGAGGGAGCGGGATGGACAGGCCAGGGAGGAGGAGAGGAGGAAAGACAGGGGCAGGGATGGAAGAGACGGAGACGAAACGGCGAGACGTAGCCGGGACGGCGGCGGCAGACACCGGGACGGCGACAGGCACAGGCGGGAGGACAGACACCGGAGAGAAGAGCGGCACCACAGGGAGGACAGTGACAGAGAGAGGGAGCGGTCCGGCAGGCAGAGGTCGCACAGCCGCGACCGGGAACGCTGCAGGAGCTGATGGAGACGCGCATGCTGTAGGACTGATCCCGGATCAGCACAACAATGCCCAGTGGGAGTGTGTGCTGACAGGGCGGTTTTATTATGAGTAGATTAAACTGTACTGGCGGTGGGTGTCGTTTAATAATGACAACACACAGATCTCATTTTTATAGAGACTTTAAACATGATGTATAAATCATTTCATTGAAGTCCATGTGTTACAGAGACCAAAATAAAGATATTCTGAATAATTTCTATGAGTAATACAAAAGAATACCAGTAGTTTTCTGACTTTAAATAAGTGGTCACGGGGTGGGGGTAAGCTTTAAAAGGGCGGAGATAACCGTACAAATGAACACACAATTCGTAACTTATGAACAGCCAACAAACACGTGAATTTAAAATATGCGAAATAAACGTATATTATAACAAATACGCACAGTACAAGTTAACACCTGCTCTGCAGGGTTTTTTTTTAAAAGCAGAGTAACTTTACATTGTTCAAAATCACACCGAAATTTCCAATGAACTAGCAGAATGAAAACAATCGATACTAATAAATAATAGTGACAAACTCGAACGCTCGTAAAAGCATTTAGACACTAACCGTCAGCGCTCGAATACTTGGACTTTCTGGGGAACGAGCCGGAGGCTCATCTACAATCTTGGCGTTAGACAAGCCGACTACACGAAAGAATAACTATGCAGGTGTGCAAAACCTTCTACACGTCATTTAAAGGGAATTACGCGTGTGCACCTCGGTGGCTGCTGTCGTTTGATTGCAACAGGAATGTATTTACCTCCCTAAACAGTCTAGACTTGTCAGCATATCCGTACGGAGGTGCGTCTCGTTTTTCCTCTGCCTTTTCGGGAGACTTGGCGCAAAATGGAAAGAAAGAATCTTTCGTTAAGAGACTACTCATTATCTGGTCCGGGGAAGATACCAGAGAGGGTATTATATAATCGATATAGGAGGAGACGTGACCGTCATTACGGCCCTCCAGTACGATTCCTATTTCCCCGCTTCACTTCACTCGAGGAGGAACGCTGCTCTCGAGACAGCGGAATGGGTAATGTCGATCCCTGGCCAAAAATGTATATGTAATAAAAATGGTAATTACAGATTTAAGAACAGCCAAAACTAATCCCTCTCCAGCAGTTAAAAACGTAATCATATTAAGTGCTTTTCATGTTTGGTGGCTATAGACCCCAAATACCTAATCAGCTAATAGCGAGATGGCTTCCAAATTAGAATCTGATTGATAAGCCAATCGATTACTCCGATACAAAAAATCTCTGTCATTTAACCAGAGTTAAGAGTAGTTAGATGCTTATCATCATGGACCCACATATAGAATAAAATACAAAGATTTGCACACACACTTTAGTATGTAAGACAGCATGAGAATATTTCAAACGATGTTATTTTGATGCAGATATCTGGAAGGGTGCTTACTGTTCTTTGTTTTCCTATAATATTTTCGGTAACATTTTACTGAAGGGGACACAAATAATGTAGTACTATGCTATTACTTATGTATTACTTAACCACAAATTAAGAGTTACTTGCAAACTGATCTCATGTTTGTTCATCATTATTGAATTGTTACACATCTTCTCAAGCAAGTACTATACATTTTCACTATACCTGTGAATTCTGTAAACATTTGTGAACTACTGAATGAACAAATAATGAATAACATGTAAAATACTGATCTAGTATTTATCCCAAGCAGTTACTAAATCTCAGGGTTCATCAACTCTGGACCTCGATTCCAAATCCAGGCCTTGTTTTCAGTTCTCCAAGGTAGTTGTTTAATAATTACTGATTCTGATTGGTCAGAGGCTTCACACCTGACCGACAGGTAAAGGAAGGCTGGAAAACCAGCAGTGCTCGGACCTCGAGGACCGTGAGTTGAATAACCCTACTATATCTGATAATTCTGAAAATCTTAGTCTACAACTAAGGAACTACTAAGGATCTATTAAAGGAACAAGTCATGAATAACAAGTGAAATATTGCTTTCACGTTTGTTCATCACTAATGAATCATGGTACATCTTTCATCTTATGTAGCGATGTTTATGTTTGTTCATGATTTGTACTACAGTTACTACTAAGTATTTGTGTCCCCTCAAGTAAAGTGTTACAAAATTTTCTTTTAATTCGGCCATTTAGGATAGCCCAGCTTTCAGAACCGTAATTTAAAAAGTTACATTTAAAGCCAACGCAAACACTTCATACGTATAGTCAGGAACGTTTACTTTATAATAAATGAAGTACGGATACGTTCAATTTAAAGATATGAACAATAACAGACCGTTTACTCCAGCAACAACGTATTACTCTCTAAAACCATCAAATGAAGACACGATAATATGATTTGCTAATTTTAGGATCACGCCACGAAACAGAAAGCCGCAGACTTCCCCCGGTAAATTTCCTCTGGCTGTTATAGTCTTTGGTTGAGATTTTTTAAATCTGTTTATTGGTTTTTAAAACCAATGCATTACATTGAATCGATCTTAAATGAATCCCGATTCCTTCCACAGAAATCCTGAAGTAGAGGACGTCCCGTAAGTTGTCTTGCGAACAACCTTGCATCGTGTGACCCGTGTTACATGGGGCACACATTCGACAGGGGTAAGATCAGTAAGATTTAAAATCACGTTTTTAATCATTAAAACGTGTATATGAAGCCAGATGCCCAAAAGAAAGGCGCATTTCCTTCTGTCTGTAACCTCTACGTTTCACAGCCATATTTACAGACAAGATGTTCTAAACTAGCTCCTCTACAATTGCAACTTGTCATGGTCATAGCAGCTAAAACATGTCACCCCAAAGACATTCATTCTGACTGGTTCAGCTTTTACCAGCTCTGGAGTATTGCTCATCTATTCCCATATTTATTTTAAGCTTCAACTTGCTTCTATACCAAATCTGTTTTCTGTACACGGAATGGAAAAAAAAAACGATTCCTGTTTCACTAATCATGTAAACACATATAACCACATTTACCATCGATAAAGGTATTCTTTTAAAATGTATAATTAAGTCATAGAAAACAGAACACTTCCAATAAACTGCGATCAAATACAAGTATTGTAGAAAAAAAGCGCGTGTATTATTTTCAACCATTACATATAGGCTAGTGTACAGTCCAAAGATGCGCAGCGGAAAAATGGCGCGCTATGCCGAGATACGGTAGCAAATATCTGGTTTTCTTAAAAAGAAACGAAAGAAAGATACCATCCATCTTCAACTACAAGTTACCCAAGCTTTCTCTCTCTCTCTCTCACACACACACACACACAGGTCATGGTGACCGGACTTGAAACGTGTATGTTTGCTGGCTTGCATTGTCATGGGAGGCTTTTAGGTAAATTATACATAACCACAAGGTGTAATGGGATCAAAATGAATGGGCTAGACTTTTATTGCCGAAGACATCTATAAATACAGGCTATGCAGTTTGTTAGTAGACTTGATGCTGAGGTTTACCGTTGTTTTGTCTGTGCAACAGAAGTTATGAAACCTGAGGGGACTAAAACACTGCGTACAGTATTGGGGGGGGGGGGTTTCTGAACCGCCGAAATGGTGACGAGCTTCCCACAGCAAAGGAACACATTTAGAAAGGTCGGTTATGGATTATTAATTATTATTACTAGGCCTACTACTACTACTAATAATAATAATAATAATACAGAAATTACACAATCCGTTCCCCAAAAGATTTAGTCGTGTATGCCCAATGCCCGGATTAGGTGACACTTTTAAAGAAACTGAAGACGTTATATTTTCAACTCTACAGTTTGGGACAGGAAAACGGCTGCATACAAAATGCACGGCCTTTAAACAGCAGTAAAAAACATCAAAGGCATTTAAGTGTATTTACTTCGGACGAATGGTAATCGGGTTAAGTAACTGAGCTGTATAATAATACATGGGGAGGAGACGGATGTTTCCTATTCCGCTAATGAACGTTATAAAAGCCTGAATTCGGCTTCAGCGTCCCGGGAGACACTTCAGCGATTACCCTGATTGAATTACCCCTAGAACCTACTGCTGCACTACGAGTCACAGCACCCGGATCTGGTAGCGCTGTTCTGCGGGGGATCCGCAGTGCTGGCCGGGGCTGAGACGTTCGACCAGAGGCGTAGAGATGGTTACTGAGGTCAGGACAGGGGGGTTGTTACGAGGAAGGGAAGATGGAAAGGCGGGAAACGAGCCATTTTACCGGGAAAAAGATGCTGATCAAGCACGGATGCTCAGGCAAACTAACCGTACGGTTCACGTGGTTCATGTTATAAGATGAATACACCGAAAATGACATTAGTAAGACGAGACGTTGATCACGTGCCGCAGTGTTTATGGTATTTTTTGAGAAGTATGGCAACTTAAATCCCAGTATTTGCCACAAATAAGGTAAACTACGTTACACCATCACACTGAATAAGCGGGCAAATTATATGATGACAAATTTCCTGACAACGTATACACGCTTAAAATACCCTGCGATCGGGGTTAAAATGCTTCGTTAAAACGACCTTGTGTCTGGCTGAAACGTACCGTACTGTGGTAAAAAAAAAAAAAAATCCAAATCTGATCTTAAGAGATATCATACAAAACAATCAAATAAATGGATGTAGGCGAATATTCAAATCGAGCGGGGACTAGTGCATGTTATTCCATTAACTAGTTATTGCAAAATCTAGGAATCATTAAATGGATCCACATTAAATGGATCCATAATAGGGGATTCATGGAAAAGAGACACGCCGAAACAATGTAGTTTGCTGAAAAGTAACATCTTAGAATAACAATGTATTTTCTTTTTACAGTTTACTTATAAAATATATGATTCTACATACTGTACATACTTCAGCTGCACGTATACAGGACAGAGATTAGAGGCGGACAGACTGAGGTGGGATCAGATCATTGCAGTCCATTCAATCCCCGTACAGACAGAGGTCAGAGGTATATCTGATAAGTGGCGGTGGGCTGCAGTGGGGTTACCGGGAGTGTGCAATAACGTCTCGGTGCAGAAACCGCAGTACCAGCCCAGGGTTACGGTCCGAAGCACTGCATGTAACCACATCCATCGAGGGCTTACATCAGTACAAAAGTAAGGCTTTGTGAATATCTGACTGGGGAGGGTGATCATGCTGTACAGCTGGGACTGAAGCTGAGTGGATGTAAGAAACATATTAATGGTCACAAGCTGAATGAAACATGCACATCGTGAGCACACTCCCCTCCTCATCGATACAAGTCGCTCTTCGTGTCGTAAAACAAGTCTTTTTAAAAAGCTGCATTAATGGATTTGACAGTCCCACCCCTCCCCAGGGAATCCATCTGCAGAGGACTGCTGTGTCGAGCAAGTAACCAAGGGCGACAGGGCTTTTAGCGAGGGCACGATAACTCCTGGTTCTTAGTCGGAAATCTCCCAACAAGGCTAACGTCGGGGTCACCACACGCACAGTATCAACAATTAACAACCAAAAGCCGCCATTTTCCGCTGTCGTTGCTCCGGCAACTCAAACAGCCGTCACAACCCACCACGGGTAGCTGGACCGACTAACCCGTCGCCGTTTTCTTCCCGGTGCCTCCTGCAGGCTCCATCAGCCTGTGCAGCACCCTTAACCCCAAACGCAGTTTCAACGCTTTGTTTTCCAAACACTGCTTTGCTGTCACCTTAGTGGGAAAAAAAAATATATGCGCATTGCAGTACAGCAAGTCCGACACTAGGGGCAGCACAAAGTGCAGAACTCAAAGAGACTCCCCTGACTGCGGGGAGGGTTAGGGGGCAGTCAGGGTACCTGTGGCATTTACGAACCAGTCATTGCACGTCCCCTCCCTCGAACTCGCGATGGAGGTCGATCGGGTTGTGGTCGCCACGTAAACACCTCGTCCCAGAGAGCCGGGGGCCTACCACTTAGATCCGGCAGGAAGTTGGCCTCAAAAGAGGAACACGCATTCAGGAAGGCGCTGGCGCGCCTGCACACACTCATACACGCACGCGCACTGCCCCTCTCCTCAGGAAAGCACGAGCGGCTGACGTCCTACGGCGTCTGCCGCCTGTTCAGCACATGGAGATGGTGACGTTGATGCCCAAGTTGCCGTTGTCGGCGAAGAGGTGGGCAATGGACGTGTCGAACACCAGGCAGTCGCTGTTCATGATGGCGGAGGCCACGCCGTCGTGGATGGAGCGCGGCGTGGCCTCCCAGGTGAGCCGGCGCCGGTTGCCGTTCAGCTCGAGCCGATAGGCGAAGCCCTCGGCCTGCTTGCGGGTGCCGATCAGCAGCACGACGGCGAAGAACTGCTGGTGGCCCTCGTATCGCTCCTGCTTCTCCAGAACCAGCATGAAGTGGTGCCCGAAGCAGGACTGCATCATGACCCAGTCGACAGCACCGGGCAGGTTGATGTCTGTGGCCAGGAAGACGATGTCCTCGCCCTGCAGGGTGGTGATGGACTTGTGGGCGTGCATCAGGTGCGGCATGACGGCCTCCAGCGAGCCCTGCCACTTGCACGACGCCCCCGGACAGGGGCAGGTGTACGGCCGGAACTCGCACAGCTCCTCATGCTCCGGCTTCTCGCTGTGGTGCAGCGACAGCATGCAGCCAGAGGAGGCGTACTGTAGGGGGAGGGAGAGAAAAGGGAGGAGGGTGAGACTTGGGAGGAGAAACGCTAATCTAATATCCGTGGAGTCGCCGATACGACGGGCACTCCATGTGGCTCCATATGTCGTGCTCAGTGTGTCTGTGCGTGTGCCTGTGTGTGTGTGTGTGTGTGTGTGTGTGTGTGTGTGTGCGCTCGCCATCTCAGGCTGACGGCAGGAAGACTCGAGTCCATCATGCGAAAGCTAATTGCATTGTCACTTTACAGGACAGCAAAGGTGACATTGTCTTTGTCATCATGGTCTCTTTCTCTCTCTCACACACACACACACACACACACACACACACACACACACACACACACACACCCTTATCCCCGCCCCCAACAAACGGACGGCGTTTTCTCCTTTGTCAACGTGAAAGAGAATAATCCTTCTTTCTGTCTATACATCCATCTTCCAACCTCTTATCCCGCTCAGGGTCACACAGGGGAAAGAGTAGAATCTATCGAAATCTATTTATGCGTCCATACGGAGACGGAGGGAGAAAGACAGGAACCCGCCGGACCCCACCAGCCACAAACGAACTCGCCCGAGGATTCCCAAGGCGGGGCAAGAGACGGACATGGCGAGGAAGAGTGCGGCCTGCACACAAATGTTAGTGCATCACGTTCTTAGACAAAGCAAATGAAGGCCAACAAACTGCCACCGTGTGAGCCCTGGCGAAGTTCTTCCCTGAGCCGTCTGGCCCGGCACCCCTGGTTGCCCGCTCGTTAATTGTCGGTGTCGCCTTTTGTCATTTATGGGGCGTTTGGAGTGTTCCGGACCACCCTTGGGAAAACTGCAGCAGCAGACTGTTACCACGACGGCCCCATCAATTATTCATCATGCTGCTACCCGCAAGGCCGCTCAGGAAGATCAATCAGCGCCACCCGGGGGAGGGAGGTCTCACTGCGGGCAGCCGCATTTCGCCTGAACGACGAGCTCTCGTTTGCGCCATGTGGCTTGAAACGGGCCAAGCGGTACCGGTCCACATTCCCTCCTTTTCCCTCCGCATGAGTGGAGGAGAATGAGGAGGAGGAGGGGAAGAGAGAGTGAAAAAAGACATCAATCAGAGAGGCAATTTGGGAATGGGGCTCCTTAGGGGATGGGGGGGCACTGATCACACCCCCGAGCGATTAGCTAATGCTGCTGTGGTCTCACAGTTCAGCTGGCAGGACACTTTAATATGGTGGCAGTATTAATGAAACTCGGCTCCCCCAGCGAGAAGGGCAGCCCAGGCAAGGGCATCAATCGGCCTCTGTGAGAGAGCAGGGGGGGTAACAGGAGGGGAGGTAGGGAGAGAGAGAGAGAGAGAGCAAGAAGCAGAGAGTTAACACTGGCATCCACTCAGAATGAGCGCGCGCGCACACACACACACACGCTCAAACACACACACACACACATGTACGCAAACACAGGCCCCAAAAAAACAGGGGTATATATTTAAAAAAATAAAACGCAAAATCCTTTACACATTTAGGGCATTTTACTGCTCAGGCCACAAACAAGGCTGTTAATCCACCTACAGCCACAAACACCCATTTATTACACCCCTTTCACACCCCCACCCCCTTTCTATGGCTTATATGTAAACCCTGCAACCTAAATCGAGGGTCTGCAGAACCCCCCCCCCCCAACCCAGCAACGTGTGAAATGGAGCTGGGAGCACATACACATTCCCCGCATGGAATCACAGAGATCAGAGTCAAACGCGCCAAAACGGGAATGTTTATTTCCAATCCTGGGAATGGAATCGGGGCAGCAAGACAAATAGCTGAGGAGAAGAGAGTCAGACATTCCCGGTTAATGTGGCGCACAGCGAGCGTCAACAAGGAGGCAGGACCCTCACTGCGGAAGCCAGCTGGAGACTGGAATGGCGGGGGGGGGGCAGGGACAGAAATGCGTCCCCCAGGACAGGAACCCCCTCAGAGGGACTGGGATCCGCAGGTGGCCGTAAAGTGTGACCCCAGTAGAGCCGACAGTCACCCACGGCATCAAGGGGATTAATGCTACGCCCCCCCCCCCCCTTTTTCAGCAACGTATCAGATTTCAAAATCCTTCCCCTAAAGCGGCTCGCCATGCAGGATACGAACCCATGACCTTAAAAGTCAGAGATCAGGCTCCTCGATGTCCCCCCCCCTTAATGACATCACCATCCGCGGCATCATTAATCAGAGGCGCGATACGGCGCGGCGGCCGCTCGCATGTCCGAGAGCGCGGCTGATACGAGGAAACCGACACCCCTCCCCTGGGGGCCCGATGACATCAGCGCCTGCAGGTGCGAGGTGACACACGGCTTCAGAGTAAAAGGATTGGAGGGATAGGTTCACGCTGAGATCGGAGCCCCTCGCAGCGCCCCCTAGAGGATAAGAGCGTAACGACTGATGGGGAAAAAAATCAGAGAGAGAGACAGTGGGATGGAGGCAGTGGGACAGAGAGAGGAAGAGGGACAAACGAAAATATGAGAGACAGTGGGAGAGACATGCAGGATGGTGACATCAGAGAGTAGTGTGTGTGTGTGTGTGTGTCCTGTCAAAGTGAGATTCTCCTGTCCCCTTCCCCAAAAGCCCCAGGTGCGAGCTCACCTTGGCCTCCGGCATCGGCGCTGTGTGGCACACGGGCCGGCCGCCCTGGGGCCCGGCGGGATGGGGCCATGCGAGGAGCAGCCGCCACTGAGAGAGCTCCCGCAGGAGCGGCAGGCAGGAAGACGGGCACAGCATCCCGCCGCCGTCGCCACACGCGCAGCCTCACGCACGCACACGCGGGCGCTCGCTCAGCACAAACCAATCCCCCGAAAGTGGAGCCGCGTGCTGCTTCTCCCGCTGCAGGGAGCCGGCCGCCCTCCCTCAGAGCCTCCGCCGCTAAAGCGCCGTCTGTCCGAGACGCAGGACGTCCCCACTGTGACAAAAAGTCGCACGGTGCAGACTCCTCCTCCTGCCTGTCACTGAACCCCTCCAAATACTGCCACCCCAGATGCCAGCGAGGCTCCGCACGGCATCCGGGAATTTGTCCCGGGAACAATTTAGCTCGTTTTCACCTCGGCTAGATCACTGATACATTAGAAGGTTAGTGAAACATCACAGCGGCTGTTTCAAAATAAAAGCCGGCCGGAGGCTCCCAATCCAGCGCACGTGTGTAAAAACACACACACAAAAAACACACACGTGTTCAGATAGCCGAACGCAAGAGCTACGGAAACTTCCTCTCCTGGCCCCGCTACGCCGCAGTCTGTCCTGCCCCGCACACTCGCCGGCGACCTCCGGGGGGTGCCGTGCTCCGTGGGTCCGCAATTCCAGCCGTGCACATTGCTTTCCTGTCAGACCGCGGCACCGACAGGACGGAGCGCAAGATTATGTGTGTGTGTGTTTGTGCCTGCATGAGAGGGGATGCCAGGGGAGGGGGTGTGTCAAACTAGCACACCCCCCTGCCTTTCTCTCTCTTCCCATAATCTCCCCTCCCCCCCCTTTCTCTCTCTCTCTCTCTCTCTCTCTCTCTCTCTCTCCCCCCCCCACGCAAATGCAGCCATATTGAGTCCTGGCCTGCCCCTTTGTTTTTCCCAGCCACCTCCTCCTGCTCCATCCCCCCCCCCCATTCCAGGCAGCTCCAGTGAGCGGGGTCCAGAGGAATGTGTTTGGAAACCCCTGCAATCTCGGGACCCTGGAGGACGGGATGGGACAGGGCCTTGCGTGAGCAGAGCCAGGCTTGTTGCGAACGCCTTTGAATTCTCCTCTCTCTACACGCCCCGCTCAGCCGCCACCCCCCACTCTGCCTCCAGCCCCAGGAAGCCGTCGCAGCGAGGCGCTGAAAGGCAGGATGGGCAAAAGGGGGTCGCACTCCAATCCCAGGAAGACACTCGCTCTCATCGAGGTGGAAAATGGCCGTCCGTGTTCAGTGACTAGCACTGGAGGAGAGGGGGAGTGCAGCGATGCCTCTGTGCCTGAAGGGGGCGCCCTAAGAGATACGCGGTGTCCGCACTGCATCTCCACTGTGTTTGTTCCCGTGGCAGGAAGACAAAGGCTTTGTTCACGTTTCAAAAGGCAGCCACACGACACAAATGTTGAATATACTGGGGGGAAGGAATCCAGATTCATCTTAGACAGACACACACACACACACACACACACACACGTCATCCGGCCGTGTGTGTGTGCTCTGAGACACAAACCCTCTCTCTCCAAGACACACACACACTGTCTCTCAGTTACACACACATACTCGCACATTCCTAGAGACGGACACTCTCATTCTGTCAGATACCAACACACATACTGTCACACTGATAGAGACATACACTCTCACTCTATCTGAGAGTGCATGTACCTGGGAGAGGGTGTATGTGCAGCTGAGAGAGTGTATGTCTGAGAAAGAGAGAGAGTGAGACTGTGTCTTTCAAAGACAGGCACTCTCTCCCTCACTCTTAGAGACAGTGACACACAGTATCTACACAGACGTCTCTGAGCACATTGGCTTAGGGGAGCTTCTGTTTCTCAGAATTTCACAGCAGTACACGAAAGCGTCTTTCCTGATCGCGGTGTGCGGTGTGCGGCGTACAGCCTCGCGCAGCTGTAATGTGGACTGCGAATGCGATCGGGGCTCATTTCAGCGCTGAATTTAACGGCACAGCCCGGGAGAGCGGACGGACGGCCAGTAATGTGGGCACATCGCGTTTCGCTGAAAATGGGTAAAGAACTCGGCAAGCGGAAACAGCGCATCAGACGCAGACTGCGGATTTGTGTTAAGCGTGTGGGGGGGGG